TTGAATTATTGGAGTTAAAGAGGGAACTGAGAAAGACAAAGGGGTAGAAAGTTTTTATAAGGAAACAACAGAAAAATTTCCAAACCTGAGGAAAGGTATAAATATGCAGGTATAAAGAGGTCAAAGATCGTTAATCAGATTCAACCCAAATAATAACACCCTAAGACATATTATAATGAAACTCTCAAAGATCAAAGACAAAGACAGGATCCTGAAAGCAGTGAGAAAAAAGAAGCAAATAATATATAAGGAAGATCCAATATGCCTGGTAGCAGACTCCTCGGCAGAAATCTTACAGACCAGGAGGGAGTAAGATGACATACTCAGTGTTGAACAAAAAAAACCCTGCCAATCATGAATACTGTGCCAAGCAGAGTTATCCTTCAGAAATGAAGAAGAGACACTTTCCTAAACAAAAGCTGAGGAAATTTATCACTACTAGACCTGTCCTACAAGAAATGCTAAAGGGAATACTTCAAACTTAAGAAAAACAGCCACTAATGTGACTGTTATACCAACACTGAAATCATGGTGTGTAAACCACTTATATCTTTAGTAAGAAGACTAAAAGGCAAAATTATTAAAAATAATTACAACAATTTATTCAGAGATAGACAATATAAAAATTTAATTGGAACACCAAAAATTCAAAATGTGAAGGAGAAGGAGATTAAATTACACAGGTTTTTAATTTTTTTGTTGTTTTTGCTACTATCACAGTTAAGTTGATACCAGTTTTTGATAACTTGTTATAACAATAGGATGTTTTATATAAGTCTCACCACAAAGCAAAAACCTGTGAGAGATACACTAAAAATAAATAGCAACCAATTAATCATACTACCAGAAAAAAATCATTTAACCACAATGAAAGACAGTAAATGGGAAAGAAAGGGAGGAGTTGCAAAACAACTAAAAAACAAGTAACAGAAAGGCACAGATCCTTACCTATCAATAATAACATTGAATGTAACTGGACTAAATTTCCATTTAAAACACATAGAGTGGGTGAATGGATTAAAAAAGAAATCCAACTATATGCTTCCTAAAAGAAATTCATAAGACACACATAGACTGAAAGTAAAAGAATGTAAAAAGATATTCCATTTAAATGGAAATCAAAAAAGAGCAGAAATAGCTATACTTAGACAAAACAGACCACAGATCAAAGACAGTAAAAAGAGACAAGGCCAGTATAAAATAATAAATGTGTCACGTTAGCAAGAGGATATAAAAATTATAAATATCGGCCGGGCGCCGAGATCGGGCCACTGCACTCCAGCCTGGGCCACACAGCGAGACTCCATCTCAAAAAAAATAAATAAATAAATAAATAAATATAAATATCTATGCACCCAGGCATATAAAGCTCCCGAGTATATAAAGCAAACATTAATAGATCTAAAGGGACAAATAGGTGGTTGCAATAAAACAATAGACAGGGACTTCAATACCCCACTCTCAGTAATGGACAGATTGTCCAGATTGAAAAAATCAACAAAGAAACATCAGAGTTCAACTACAAACTAGGCCAAAGAAGCATTTTGTAACTGACATTTACAGAATATTTCATCCACTGTTGCTGAATACATATTCTTTCTTTTCTCTCTTTTCTTTTCTTTTTTTTGTGACAGGGTTGCCCAGGCTGGAGTGCAGTGGCACAATCATAGCTCACCGCAGCCTCAACCTCCTGTAATCCCAAGTAGCTGGGACTACAAGTGCACATCATCGTATCTAGCTAATTTTTTTCACTTTTTGTAGAGACAGGGTCCCACTATGTTGCCCAGGTTCACATTCTTATCTGCACATGGAATATTACCCAGAATACATAAATAGGTTAGGCCACAAAATAAGTCTCATCAAATTTTAAAAGGTAGAAATCCTATCAAGTATATTATCTAACCACTATGGAATAAAAATAGAAATCAATAAGAAGAAGAACTTCAGAAATTATACAAACACATAAAATGTAAACAACATGCTCCTGAATGAACAAAGGGTGAGTGAAGAAATTTTAAAAAAAATGTTAGTGTCTTGAAACAAATAAAAATGGATATACCAAACCTATGGGCTACTGTGAATGCAGTACAAAGAGGAAAGTTTATAGCAATAACTGCTTACATAAAAAAAAAAATACAAAAATTTCAAACAAACAATGCACCTAAAGGTGCATATTAAAATTAAGAGCATTATTGAAAATATTATTGGACATATTACTGAAAATGATGCTTTTAGAATTGCATTGAGAATATATTCGATAGGATTTCTACCTTTAAAATTTTGATGAGACTTATTTTGTGGCCTAACATATTATGTATTTTGGATAATACATAATACATTTATGTATTCTGGATAATTCCATGTGCTGATAAGAATGTGAGCCTGAGCAACACAGGGGCAACATAGCCTGTCTCTACAAAAGGTAAGTTCAAGTTGGTCTTGAACTGCCTTTTCCACACTGGAATAGCAACAGCCAAACCCAATATTATTAGGAGGAAAGCAATAATAAAGATCAGAGCAAAAATAAATGAAATTGAGACTACAAAACAATACAGAGGATAAATGAAACAAAGAGTTGATTTCTTGAAAAGATAAAATTAACGAACACCTTTAGATGACTAAGAAGAGAAAGAATCCAAATAAAATGAGATGAAAAAGGAAACATTACAACTCATACCACAGAAATACAAAGGATCACTACAGACTATTATGAACAACTACACACCAACAAATTGGAAAACCTAGAAGAAATGGATAAATTCCTGGGCCCACACAAGCTACTGAGACTGAACCATGAAGAAACAGAAAACTTGAATAGAACAATAATAAGCAATGAGATAAAAGCAGTAATAAAAAGTCACCCATCAAAGAAAAGCCCAGGACCTGATAGATTCACTGCTGAATTCTACCAAACATTTAAAGAAAAACTAAGCAATTCTACTCAAACTATTTCAAAAAACTGAAAGAGGGAACACTTTTTTTTTTTTCTGAGACAGGTTTTCACTCTGTCGCCCAGGCTGGGGTACAGTTGAGCACTCATGGCTCAATGCAGACTCTACTTCCCAGGCTCAAGCAATCCTTCCACTTCAGCCTCTTGAGTAGCTGGGACTACAGGCACATGCCATCACACTTGGCTAATTTTTGTATTTTCTGTAGAGATGGGGTCTCACCAGGTTGTCTAGGCTGGTCTTGAACTGAGCTCAGGCAATCTGCCCACCTTGACCTCCCAAAGTGCTGGGATTACAGGCACGCACCGTGCCTGGCCCACTTCTAAACTCATTCTACAAGGCCAGCATTACGCTGATACCAAAACCAGACAAGGACATAACAGAAACAGAAAACAACAGGCCAATATCGCTGATGAACACAGATGCAGAATCCACAACAAAATACCATCAAACTGAATTCAAAAACATTTTTAAAAGATCGTTCACCATAACCAAGTGGAATTCATCCCAGGAATGCCAAGACGGTTCAACATACACAAATCATTAAACATGATATATTATATCAACAGAATCAAGGACAAAAACCATATAATAATTTCATATTAAAATTAAAAACATTATTGAAAAGCATCAGATAAAATTCAACATATTTTCATGATAAAAGCTCTCAACAAATTGGGTATAGAAGGAAAATAACAGGCTGGGCACAGTGGCTCACGCCTGTAATCCCAGCACTTTGGGAGGCCAGGGCGTGTTAAATCATGAGGTCAGGAGTTCAAGACCAGCCTGGCCAAGATGGTGAAACCCCATCTCTACTACAAATACAAAGATTAGCCGAGCGTGGTGGTGGGCACCTGTAATCCCAGCTACTGGGGAGGCTGAGGCAGAGAACTGCTTGAACCCAGGAGGCGGAGGTTGCAGTGAGCTGAGATCAAGCCACTGCACTCCAGCCTGGGTGACAGAGCAAGACTCCGTCTTAAAAAAAAAAAAAAAAAAAAAAGAAAGAAAGAAAAAAAAGGAAAATAACACAGTAAAGATCATTTACAACAAACCCATAGTTAGTATCATAGGACTAGGGAAAAACTGAAAGTCTTTCCACTAAAATATAGAACAAGACAAGTATGCCCACTTTCACCACTATTATTCAGTATAATACTGGGAGTCCTGACTAGAGCAACTAGACAAGAGAAAGAAAGGGCATCCAAATTGGAAAGAGAGAGGTTAAATTATCCTTGTTTGCAGAGGATATAATCTTATATTTGGAAAAACCTGAAAACTCCCCCAAAAAACTATTAGAACTGATAAACAGGGCTGGCATGGTGTCTCATGCCTGTAATCCCAGCACTTTGGGAAGCGAGGGGGGCAAATCGCTTGAGCCCAGGAGTTTGAGACCTACCTAGGCAACATGGCAAAACCCCATTTCTACAAAAAATTAAAAAATTAGCCAAGCATGGTGGTGCACACCTGTAGTCCCAGCTACTTCGGAGACTGAGGTGGAGGGATCACTTGAGCTTGGGATGTTGAGGCGGCAGTGAGCTATGATCACGACACTGCCCTCCAGCCCAGATGACAGAGTGAGATCTTGTCTCAAAACAGAAACAAAAACAAAAAAAGAACTGATAAATTCAGTCAAGTTGAAAGACACAAAATTAACATACAAAAATCAGTAGCATTTCTGTACACTAAAAGCAATCAATCTGAAAAAGAAATCAAGAAGGCAATCCTATTTAAAGCAGCTACAAAAAATTAAAGTATCTAGGAAGAAATTTAATCAAGAAGTGAAAGATCCACAGAGTGTGGTAGCTCACGCCTGTAATCCCAAAGCTTTGGGGAAACCAAGGCAAGAGGATTGTTTGAGCCCAGGAACTCAAGGCTGCAGTGAGGTATGATCAGATGCACTGCACTCCAGCCTGGGCTACAGAGCGAGACTCCGCCTCAAAACAAACAAACAAACAAACAAACAAAAACACCCACTATGTGAAGGGGTGTTTTCAGTTACAGTTTAAATTTTTAAAAAAATAATTTAAAATATGTAATTTTAAAATAATTTACCTGTTTGTTACATTCTTTAAGTTCCAATTCTGATTTCTCCAGGGTACCTTCTAATTTAATTATTTTTTGTTCCATTTCTCCTCTGTGTTCGCGAATAGTCATATCCAAATGTGTAACCTAAAAAATAACCTTAAATTGTTCAATTTTGTTCTGATACAAAAACTTATATGCTTAGAATAGGCTTTGTAATTGTTTATTGCAAGTATAACAAGTATAAACTCATTTCAAATTATTTTTAAATGGGAAAAATAATCATTGTTTACTAATACTGGTTCATGAGCCTCATATACATTTTTTTTAACAATACACACTGACATTCAATCCATATACATTATAGAAACAATAAAATATAGTTGTGTTCATAAATGACAAATAATTCAGACTTCATTTTATGCTGGATAAAAAGTGCTAAATAATGCCTTCCAAATATTTTTGTTCCTCCAACACTTAGCTGCTTCTGATATAGGGTAATATAAGAGATCAAAAGGTTCAGATACTAAGCAAATCTTCATTTTCAAAATCTACTTGCTAGAAAAATATCAAGATAGAGATTACATATCTCTATGCTATATGCTATAAAAATGCCCATTTTACCAAAAATTGATGACCTCTCAAATCCTGTGGACTGTGTCATAACAGAAAACTTCACTAAAATATAATCAAGAAAAATCAACCTGAGCTGCTCTTTGCTTTAGTTCCCAATTTCTCTCCTTAAGTGCCTGATCCATTTCAAGGAGCTCCTGCTTTTTGTCTTCAATCTCCATCTTGCATTCTCTACAATGTATCAAAGGAAAAAGATCAAAACAGATAGTAGGAATATTATAATTTTAAAAAGTTAGGTCAACCAGGTTACCTCTTCTATAAATTAAAAGCAAAATAATATATGCAATCAAGTCAGATTGAAAGGGTCAAATTAAAGGAATAATAGATAAAGAAAAAGATTGACATCAATACAATTAATTTAATAAAGGGTATTCTAAAAGGGTAAAAGTTAACTCACATTGTGGTATTACAGATAATTTAAGCTAATTGTTAAAGCACTCCCAGGACTCCAAGATTGAACGATAAGAATTTTTAAAAATACATATCCACATTTTTTCATACACAGATCAAGCGAGTGTTTCAAAGTCTTTTACATATAACAGCTGTGACTTTATTACAATTGAATGAGGCATTTAACCATAGTATTTCTCATGAGGATGTTACTCAAAATGATGCCTTACATATAAAAAAACACTTAAATCTAATATTAACGTATTACAAATTCTAAGCCCTCTTAAACCCTAATTTATGTATGGCCTTATATTATAAAATGCTTAATACTGACACAATTTTAAGGCTTTTACCAAAGTAAAGCCTGTGATCAGAGAATAATTTGAAACTCTAAGTTCTGATAAGACAAAGGCTGAAAATGTTGATCTTGAAAATCTTCATATGATTTTCCAGTCTGAAACATGAAACAGTACTGATAAGGGTACTAATTTTTAAAAGAAAATTTTGAACTTTCTTTAATGAGTTGTTTTTAATATTCTTCTAAAAATCTTAAGAGGTATAACACAAGGCTAAAACTAATATTCTAAAAACAGTATGAAATTAAAGAAAACTCTAATTTCTATCTATGCAAATAGTGGAGCTTCCACGATTCATCTGTTAGCTAGAACTTAATATTTCACTGTTTACATGTTTCATGTTTTCATTTACTTATTGATTTTGCAAATATTTACTGGATGTTTCCTATATGCCAGGGTTCTAAGTGCTGTGGATTTAATAGTAAAAAAGATAAATGTTTCTGATCTGAGTTTACACTCTAATAGGTCCAGGAGAAAAGACAGACTATAAATACCTAAGTAAGAAAAATATAATATTAAGTGCTATATTAGAGCATTAATTGTGTGATGAAGTAGTGACTGGGTGGCTACTTTAGAGTGAGTAGTCAGAGAAGGCTTCTCTCTGAAGTAATGTGAAAGACAACAAGAAGCTGACCATATAACTGTTATCCCAGTAAAAAGAAACAGCTATGGCCAAGATTCCATGGTAGAAGCAAACTTGGTAAGTGTAAACTATGAGAAAAATGTCAGGAGCAAGGAGAGTTGTATGAAATGAGGCCAGAGAAGTAGACAGGAACCAGACCACATAGGGCTTTGTACTCCAAGATAAGGAACTTGGATTTTTTTAACTGTGGTAAAATTCATGTAACATAAAAGTTACCATTTTAACCATTTTAAAGTGCACAGTTCAGAAGCATTAAGTGTATTCATAATGTTATGTAACCATCACCACTATCTATGTCCAGTATTTTTCCATTGGTCCCCCACAAAGAACTTCATACTCATTAGCATTTATTTTCCATTCTCCCTTCCCCTAGTCCCTGGCAATCACTAATCTTTCTTTCCCTATGAATTTGCCAATTCTCAATATTTCATATAAATGGAATTATGCATCATGTGTCTGGCTCCTTTCACTTAGCATAATGTTTTCAAAGTTCATGCACTTTGTACCATGTATCAGTATTTTATTCCTTTTTATAACTGAATAATATTCTTTGTATGGATACACTATATGATATGGTTTGGCTGTGTTCCCACCAAATCTCATCTTGAATTCCACATGTTTAGGAGAGACCCAGTGGGAGGTAACTGAATCAGGGGGCAGGTCTTTCTCGTGTTATTCTCATGACAGTGAATAAGTCTCATAAGATCTGATGGTTTTAAAAATAGGAGGTTCCTTGCACAAGTTCTCTTGTCTGCTACCATGTGAGATGTGCCTTTCACTTCCACCATGATTGTGAGGCCTCCCCAGCCACGTAGAACTGTGATTCCATTAAACCTCTTTCTTTTGTTAATCACCCAGTCTCAGGTATGTCTTTTTCAGCAGCGTGAAAACTCACTAATACAGTAAATTGGTACCAGTAAAGTGGGGCACTACTATAGATATGGAAGTGACTTTGGAACTGGGTAACAGGTAAGGGTTGGAACAATTTGGTGGGCTCAGAATAATACAGGAAAATGTGGGAAAGTTTGGAACTTCCCAGAAACTTGTTCAATGGTTTTGACCAAAATGCTGATAACAATATGGACAATGAAGTCCAGAATGAGGTGGTCTTGGAGAGAAATAAGGAACTTGTTGAGAACTGGAGCAAAGGTGACTCTTAAGTTTTAGCAAAGAGACTGGTGGCATTTTGCCCCTGCCCTAGAGATTTGTGGAATATTGAACTTCAGAGAGATGATTTAGGGTATCTGGTGGAAGAAATTTCTAAGCAACAAAGCACCCAAGAGGTCACCTGAGTGTGATAGAAAAGAAAATCCCATTTTCTGAGGAGAAATTCAAGCTGGCTACAGAAATTTGCATAAGTAACAAGGAGACGAATGTTAATCCCCAAGACAATGGGGAAAATGTCTCCAGGGCATGTCAGAGGTCTTTGCAGCAGCCTCTCCCATCACAGGCCTGGAGGCCTAGGAGGAAACAACGGTTTCATGGGTGGGATCCAGGGTCACCATGCTGTGTGCAGCCTAGGGACTTGGTGCCCTGCATCTCAGCCACCCTAGCTGTGGCTGAAAAAGGCCAACACGGAGCACGGGCCGTGGCTTCAGAGGGTGTGAGCCCCATGCCTTGGCAGCTTCTACCCAATGTTGAACCTGTGAGAACACAGAAGTCATGAACTGAGGTTTGGGAACCTCTACCTAGATTTCAGAGGATGTATGGAAAGGCCTGGTTGTCCAGGCAGAAGTTTGCTGCTGAGGCAGGGCCCTCATGGAGAGCCTCTGCTAGGGAAGTGCAGAAGGGAAATGTAGGGTGGGCACCCCCATACAGAGTCCCCCACTGGGGCGCTGCCTGGTGGAGCTGTGAGAAGAGGGAGGGCCACCATCCTCCAGAACCCCAGAATAACAGATGCACTGACAACTTGCACTGTGCGCCTGGAAAGGCCACAGACACTCAATGCCAGTCCATGAAAGCAGCCAGGAGAAAGGCTGTAGCCTACAAAGCTACAGGGGTGGAGCTGCCCAAGACCACGGGAACCTACCTCTTGCATCAGTGTGACCTGGATGTGAGACATGGAGTCAAAAGAGATCATTTTGGAGCTTTAAGATGTGACTGCCCTGCTGAATTTCGGACTAGCATGGGGCCTGTAGCCCCTTTGTTTTGGCCAATTTCTACCATTTGGAATGGGTGTATTTACCCAACGTCTGTGCCCCAACTGTATCTAGGAAGAAAGTAACTTGCTTTTGATTTTACAGGCTCATAGGCAGAAGGGATTTGCCTTGTCTCAGATGAGACTTTGGACTTTTGAGTTAATGCTCAAATGAATTAACACTTTGAGAGACTGTTGGAAAGGCATGATTTGTTTTGAAATGTGAGGACATGAGATTTGGGAGGAGCTGAGGCGGAATGATATAGTTTGGCTGTGTCCCCACCTCAATCTCATCTTGAATTCCCATGTGTTGTGGGAGAGACCCAGTGGGAGGTAACTGAATCGTGGGGGCAGGTCTTTCCCATGCTGTTCTCACGAGAGTGAATAAGTCTCACAAGATCTGATGGTTTTATAAAGGGGAGTTTCCCTGCACAAGCTCTCTTCTCTTGTCTGCCACCATATGAGATGTGTCTTTCACCTTCCACCATGATTGTGAGGCCTCCCCAGCCATGTGGAACTGTAAGTCCACTAAACTTTTCTTTTGTAAATTGCCCAGTCTTGGGTATGTCTTTATCAGCAGCATGAAAACGGACTAAGACACTATATTTTGTTTATCCATTTATCTGATGATGAACATTTGGACTGTTTTCACTTTTTGGCTTACTTTGTAAACAATTTTTGCTTAGATACCTGTTTTCAACCCTTTTGAGTACAAAACTAGGAATAGAATTACTGGGTCATGTGGTAACTCTACATTCAACTTACTGAGGAAGGCTAAAGTGTTTTCTATAGTGGCTGCACCATTTTAGATTCCCACCAGCAATGAATGAGGGTTCCATTTTTTTTCCGCACTTGCTAACACTTGTTCTTTTCTATTTTTTGTTTTTTAAAAATGACCATCCTTAGTGGGTATGAAGTGATATATATCAATGTAGTTTTTATTTTCATCTGCGAAGGAGTTTGGATTTTATTCTGAAGGTTTTAGAAAGCCATTAGAAGGTTTGAGTAGTTAAGCAATATGATCTAATTTACTTTTTTTTTTTTGAGATGGAGTCTCGCTCTGTCACCCAGGCTAGAGTAGATCTTAGCTCAATCTTGGCTCACTGCAACCTCCACCTCCAGGTTCAAGCAATTCTCCTGCCTCAGCCTCCTAAGTAGCTAAGACTACATGCGCCTGCCACCACAATTGGCTAATTTTTGTATTTTTAGTAGAGACGGGGCTTCACCATATTGGCCAGGCTGGTTTTGAACTCCTGACCTTGTGATCTGCCTGCCTCGGCCTCCCAAAGTGCTGAGATTACAGGCATGAGCCACCGTGCCTGGCCTAATTTATGTTTTAAATAATAAACTTAAATCTGTTTTTGGAAAATGGATTGTTGGGAGGGGGTCAAGATTGTAAGCAGACAGCCCAGTTAGGAAGCCACAGCAACAGACCAGGTAAGAGATGATGCTTTGTGCTAAGGATAACAGAAAAGAGGCCAGGAAATCAATGGATTTAATAATATGTTTTGGGGCTGGGTGCAGTGGCTCATGCCTGTAATCCCAGCAGTTTGGGAGGCCCAGGTGGATGGATCACCTGAGGTCAGGAGTTCAAGAACAGTCTGGCTAACACAGCAAAACCCTGCCTCTATCAACAATTCAAAAATTAGCCGAGCGTGGTGGCAGGTGCCTGTAATCCCAGTTACTAGCTGAGGCAGGAGAATTTCTTGAATGGGAGGCGGAGGCTGCAGTGAGCTGAGATCATGCCACTGCACTCCAACCTGGGCAAGACTGTCTGAAAAAAAAAAGAGTATGTTTTGGAAATAAAGTTGACATGGCTTGCTAATACACTGGATGAAAAAAGGGATAGAAAGAGAGAACAAGAAAAATCTTACATATCTGTAGTTTGAGCAACTGCATGATACTGAGTTAGGGGAAGGGTAGGGTTATGAGGAAATATATGAGTCCTATTTTGGCCAAGTCTGAGATGTCTCTTAAAAATATCCAAATGGAGATAACAACTCAGTAGTTGGATATTGACTCTGGAGTTACAGGAAAAGGTCAATACTGGAGAAACAGGTTTGGAAGTGTCTGACGCATAGTATTTAAAGCTACATGAAATTTACCAAGGATGAGTTTGTGGATACAGAAGAGAAGGAGGCCCTACACTGAATTCTGTGGTACAATATCTAAGTTTCTGGGTTATCTTGTTGCTCTTTATCCTGTTCTTTTATTTCACATTTTACATCCTAATTTGCAATTCTCTTTTCCTTTTCTGAATCTATTTCCCATACTTTGGCTCTAATCTGGCTGTCCGCCTCTACTCACTATACGTGTGTCGGCATAGCAGTTTATGTTATACTGCTAATCTAAGATCCCAGACTTTAGAGTTGGACAGACTTGTGTTTAACTCCCTTCTCTAGACTCTACTACTGGTATGACTTGGGGCATTTTATTTTTCTCAAGGCCTCAGGCTTCTCAACTATTAAAAAGGTGATATATGTTTCTAATAGGTGTGTTGTAAGGAAATGAGTGAGATCATATGTGAAGTCCCTGGTATAGTCCTGTCATAAAATAAGGACTTAATACAAAGAACAATATTATCATTATTAATATCCTCCTGCTGTTAGCCACTGCTATATGCTTGCCCAATCATTTTTTACCACTAGGGCCAGTATAAAATGGTCTAAAGACTGAGGATGAAAGTTTTGGTGGCCAACAACAGCTGAATTAGTTAGATAAGGCATGGGATAGGCTGGCTGGGATGAGCCAAAGTGAGCCAAAGGCAGTTGAGAAATATAGACATCTAGAATGCAACAACACATTTTATTGTATTATCCAAGGACTTATAATTGCGATATCATTTCTTATTTAACTCACCTAAGTTCAGCTGTGAGATCCTTTATAGTAGTGTATTTTTCCTCTAATGATAACTGAGCCTTCTGTAGTACATCTCTCAATTCCTGGAGTTGTCTTAAAGTACTTTTTAATTCTCCATGAGCATTTTGTAGTTCAGTCTCAAGTGCTTCCCGTTTTTGCAAGGCTTCTGTTAGTTCAGTTTCAGTACTGTGCTGTAACTTTTCTAACTCCTTTACTATTAAGAGGAGAGAATAATGTTATAACTATATATAAACCATTTATTATAAACTTTGTATATAATTAAGAATATTCCATTTTATTCATCTGTGAGAGGCAAAATACCACTTATTGTCCCTTCCAGCCCCACCATCTCAAATTCTCACACTATTTCACTTCGTTAAATACAAATACATAGGCAGCTAAACTAATCTAACCACTTGCTTACCAGCATTTGTTTTCTTTTCTAGCTCTGTCTTTGTCTGATCTAAGATCATATCTAATTGAGAGAGGTGCATTGCTTTATTTTCTCCATCTCGTTTGAGGTGCATTATTTCCTTTTCCATTTTAGACAGCTCTTCTTTGTACTGATCCATCTCAAGCTTTACTTGCCTAATTAAAAACAAATAATAAAACAGGTAATTTAGAAACTTAACCAACTAACTTGTCTCTAACTTAAAAAAGCCTGCAAATTATATAAGGACAAATATCAGCAAAATATCTAGTCAGAATTTTAAATCACCTGTTTTTAAAAATTCTCCAACTAAAAACTATCCCTTTACATATTACATACCACTAAATACAACTTTACTACTACCTGGTAATATTTAACAAGCCTAGCATTCTTTTCACTCTAACTACATTTAACTTTAGCTTTGCATGTATTGAAAATATCCAAGAACCTCATTCATCTATAATTTTTGTTATTAGCAACAAAGAAAATAAATAAGTCAAACAATCAAATTATTCATCATAAAAACCATACTACTCACTGGAGAGCCAAGTCAGTTGTTTTTACTCAGTTTTATTATTAGTTCTATACTTTTTTTAGCTTTAAAAGGGACTAGAGATTCCTAGACCAGTGCAACTTCCCTGCTTTACAGAGGAGGAAACTGAAGACTAGGTGAGTTGTCTGAGATGTAATACGACTAGCTGTTAATAGTGAAAGTGCCAGGTTTACTAACTTGGTCAGTCCTGAGCTTATTCTAATATGGCAGCTCCTCTACAGACAAATCAACATACTAAGAGCCAGTTTTATGTCCCTTTGTTGGTAATTCTAAAGTGATATTCACTAATTAAACAATTGTTAATGTTACCCTCAATGGTAGGAAGAGTTCATGTTCCTTTGTGTCCACACTGTTTCTGTTGTTTAATCTTTGAAATTTCTAAATTGAGTTTGCGAGTAGGAGCATTTCGCTTCTAAATAAAACTTCAACAAATTTGGATGTGTTCAAGAGTTTTTTAATTGGAAGTCCTTAAGTTTTTTAAACTTAAGGAAAACTATAAAACCCCTGAAACAGTATGCAAAATTATACATGTATAATGTACATGTGTATATCTATGTATAGAAGACAAGCTAAAGTTTTTTACCAGATCCTCAAATATGTCCACAGACCAACTAACTTAAGAACTACTAGATTAGATGAATGCTAATGACATTTTTACATTTCTAAAATCCCAAGTAAACAATTTTTAGCTTGACCAATTAGCTCTAATATTGAAGTAGATATAAAACAGATAATTAGAAAAGCACAAAGGAACCCTGTCAATAGAGGAGAGGGAACCTGGGGACTTGTGGTTTTAGTTCCGGTGCATAAGTTCACTCTTGACTCCTGCTGGTAGAAGGGTGAGCTGATTATATTATAAATTATGTCAATTCTCCCAACAAAGTAGATCTGAAGAGGCTGGGTACTGCTTTCAGCTCATGGGTTCCTTTCTTGACCAATTAAATACTGATGCCTGGGACCAGCCTAGCAAAATTAAATCAGAATCTTTAGGTTTTATTTAATCTAAAGGTGGGACCCAGGCATCAGTGTTTTTTTTACAAGCTCTTGAGGTGATTTTAATAATCACTCAAGGCTGAGAACCACTTTTATATTGTCACTTTTCCTCTATATAATTGGATCGCCTGAAAGTTTCCTCTATGTGAGTACATTTACAAGTTTGCCTACAACTTTTAATGTTATTCACAATTAACAGTTGCTGAGTGCCTATGAGGTATAAGGAATTGTGCCAATTGTTGTGTAAGACCCTAAAATAAACCAGATATGATCCTTGTCTTAAGAAACTTATAATATAGTAGGAAGGTTAAAAATATTAAACTATAATACAGAAAAAGGCATAATGAAAGATATGAAGGAAATACAAACAAAATGCAACAGGAACACAGACTATGGAGACATTAATTCCTCAAGCAAATGCTCCACTGAACATTATCTGATTTTGAAACTCAGATACCACTGATATTGAAGTAGGAAGGTAAATAAAACATATTCATATTTTACCTGGCAGTGCTAGTAAGCTCAATCACTTTTTGCCTTTTCAAATCTGCTTCATGTGCAGCTGATTCACATTTCTCCTCCATTTTTCTCAACTTTTCAGCTGAACTTTCCCTTTGTTTTTGAAGTTCTTGTTCCAGTTTTGACACCTTGTAAAGCAGTTTTCAATAAACATTTTAAATCCAGAAGAAAAATACTTTTATAAATATGTAACCTAGCTTATCAGTTTCAAGATGTATCATAAAAATCAACATATAGACCAAGAACTAATGTTTGGAAAATATACAAAGCAAGGCTTACTTTCTAATAATAAAGATACTTCATATACACATATATTACTATTTAGGGAAGTGGCCACATCATAACACTAAAGTGTTATAATAATTGAACAAAGTGATAGCAAATGTTCTCCTTTTCATTGTCCCCATTTGAAATGTCCTTTCTTCTCTTACCAAACTGCTCCTTTCTTTTCTTCACGAATTGGCTCATTCAATAGATTCCTAGATTGCCACATGACCTCAAATGCTAACTTGCATTTGCTCCCATTTTAACTTGAATTTGTTCCTATTCATTTTTCCTCTATTCTACTATAATAAAGGAGATATTCTTCCTCCTATATAAGTCAAAATGCTTCATAGGTGTTCTGGATTCAATTCCTATTAATTTTTTCAGGAACTTCATACTACTATCTCCTCTTTCCAATATCTTCAATCTCTCTACGGTTTTTTTAATAGTAGCATTTAAACATGTTAAAGATTTTCCCACTGTAAAAAGCTTTTCTTCAGACCTTGACCTCCCTCTATCTACCACCCTTTATTTCCTCCCATGTATAGCCCAACTTCTCAAAGTTTTCTGTGTGTTGTATCACTGTCTCACTTCTCATTCATTCTTCAACCCATAGCCAGAGGCCATTCCACAGAAATAGGGATTACAACACCAGTGACTTCCAAGTTGCTAATTTCAATGGACATTTCCCAACCCTCATTTTACTTGACATTGATTCCAGCAGCCCATGACAGCAACATTCATTCCTTCCTTAATGAAATACCTACTTTGGCTTCCATGTATCACATCCCTCAGGGATCTGTCCAAGTCAATCTTCTTGCTTCTCATTCTATATTCTCTCCCTAGGTAATTTCAGTCACTCGATGCCTTCATGAATATTTATATGACTGTGGTCTCAAAGTTAACCTCTCAATTCTGACCTGAATATCCCCCCTGTTCTTCTAAAATCTCTCACTGAAGAACTAAATATAGATTATAAACCATTAATATCTTGCCAGGTGTGGTGGTTCAGGCCTCCAATCCCAGCACTTTGGGAGGCCAAGGAAGGTGGATTACTTAAGCCCAAGAGTTCGAGACCAGCCTAGGCAACATGGTGATACTCTGTCTCTACCAAAACAAAAAAAAAAAGAAAAGAAAAACCACACACACACACACACACACACACACACACACATATATACACACACACACACAAAATTAGCTGGGCATGGTGGTAGGACTCGGAAGGCAGAAGTGGGAAAATCACCTGAGCCCAGGGAAATTGAGGCTGCACTGTGCCATGATCATGTCACTGCACTCCAGCCTGGATGACAAAGTAAGACCCTGTCTCAAACAAAACAAAACAAGAAAACCCCATTAATATCCACCCCTCCACCTCAAGTTCCAAGAAGAAAATTAAAACAGTACCCAGGTAAAAAGGGAAAGGAACCAAAGAAAATCCACCCACTCAATTCTTAATTAAATAAAGAAATCTAAAGATGCAAAATGGAACCTATGCATAGTGTAATATGGATGAAAGGCAGAAAAGGAACACCTAGTCAAAAATTTACTCCAAATACTGAAGAAATTTTTAGACATAAACTTCTGTAGACCTCAATGAAGCTAATGAAAACACAAAATCTTTTAAAACAAGATCACAAAGAAATAAAATCACCGAATAAAAAATACAAATGAGGCTGGGCACAGTGGCTCACGCCTGTAATCCCAGCACTTTGGGAGGCTGAGGCAGGTGAATCACAAGATCAAGACATCGAGACCATCCTGGCCAACATGGTGAAACCCCGCCTCTACTTAAAAAACAAAAATTAGCTGGGCGTGGTGGTGCGAGCCTACAGTCCCAGATATTCGGGAGGCTGAGGCAGGAGAATTGCTTGAACCTGGGAGGCAGAGGCTGCAGTGAGCCAAGATCATGCCACTGCACTCCAGCCTGGTGACAGAGCGAGACTCCGTCTCAAAAAAAGAAAAAAAGAAAAGAAAAGAAACAAATGAACTAGTAACAAAAAAACAAAAACAAAAAACAGAAGAAAACCATACAACCATTATGGAAGTGACTTAGGAACAAGAATCATAATCAATCCTGCAAGAACCAGAGTCAATGACAAAGGATGTAGGTAGAGGGAATCAAACATAGATGAGAAGAAGAAATGCTTCAGGATGAAGCTGTATAGTAGGCATAGCAAGCAGTAGGTCTAAATTTTAACAAAAGGGATGGAGAGTCACAGGAAGATGTGTCTTAAAAAAAAATACAGAGGCCGGGAGCAGTGGCTCACACCTGTAATCCCAGCACTTTGGGAGGCCCAAGCGGGTAGATCACCTGAGCTGGGAGTTTGAGACGAGTCTGACCAACATGGAGAAACCCTGTCTTTACTAAAAACACAAAATTAGCCGGGTGTGGTGGCGCATGCCTGTAATCCCAGCTACTCAGGTCACTGAGGCGGGAGAATCCCCTGAACCCGGGAGGCGGAGTTTGCAGTAAGCCGAGATTGCGCCATTGCACTCCAGCCTGGGTGACAAGAGTAAAACTGTCTCAAAAAAAAAAAAAACAGAATACCTGCCTGATGTGTTTAAATGTAGTGAGAGGAAGATTCTTTAGTTCCACTGGACAGGCTGAGGATGACTTCAGAACAAGTAGATAAAAGACCAAAAAAATGACAAAAAAAAAAAGGAAAATACAGTAAGATTACAGGGGACAATCATTTTCTAATTTATACATTACTGTAAATTTGATTTCTTTTGAAAGAAAAAACAAAAATGTAAAATATCTAAAGAATTCAGATAAATTCAGTAATGAATTAAAGGAAAAAGATTAGATTCTAGTATAAAATTCTCCAGAATTCTTACATTCAAGTAATAATTTTTAATTTTAGAACTTTCAGGGGTATTTTCCCTTGGGATTTTTCTTTTAGTGCACTGCTTTGCCATTTCTTTAAGGAATATCACACACTATGTCCTGATCCAAAAAGGAAAAATTATAGGCATTCAGATTAGGTACACGAAGACAGATTGAATAAAGAAACATGAATTATAAATTGTATGGAATGGCAAACATATAATCATAGTATAAGAGATGGAGGTCAGATTACATAGGAATAGAAATTTATTTTACAATATCAGTATTGAGTATTTCTTATAATGCAAAATCTTTGAGGTTAAACAGCAATTTTTTTTTTTGAGGCAGAGTCTCACTGTCTCCCAGGGTGGAGTGCAGTGGCACAATCGCAGCTCACCGCAACCTCTGCCTCTTGGGTTCAAGTGATTCTTGTGTCTCAGCCTCCTGAGTAGCTGGGGTTACAGGCATGTGCCACAACGCCTGGCTAAGTTTTGTAATTTTAGTAGAGACGAGGTTGGGCCATGTTGGCCAGGCTGGTCTCGAACTCCTGACCCCAGGTGATCCGCCTGCCTCAGCCTCCCAAAGTGCTGGAATTATGGGCATGAACCACAGCATCTGGCCAAACAGCAGTTTAAAAAACTAACCAAAAATGTATTCATGATTTTAAAAATTTCTATTTCATACAAATGAAACAATCTTGGGCTAATAATATATACCTGTTTTTCAAGTTTAGTTTGAGTATCTTCCAGCTCTCCATTTCTAATTGTCTCTTGTTGTAACATTTGCTGCTGTTGCTGAAGAGTATGCTGTAGAATAATGTTTTGCTCAGAAGTCTCTTGAAGACTGTGATTTTTTATTTTTAGCTCTTTCTGTAAACAATATACCTGGCAAATATATATATATCTCAATACAATGCAGTGTTTCAAATAAAAGGCAATAAAACATCAAAGTTGTCCTCCTTATTAGATAACCATCCACCTGTCATGTGGGACAATTGTATTCATGTCTATAGTTTGTCACTGGAAGGGCAGTCTTCATTTTTCTGATGGGGAGATGTATTGGAAGGGCCTGTTTATAGGATTGCTCTTGGTTAGTGTCTGGAAATGTGGCTTTAAAAATGTTCCTAAGTGATGAGGTTGTTTTGCCTGGCTGGGGCACTGAAACATGCCTTCCTTTAGAATTCTGGAATTTTTGATACTTGTAGGCTGGTCATCGTTCCCGTGTGACAACCCTCCAATAAAAACCCTGAACTTTGAGTCATAAATAGGCTTCCCTAGGCAGAAACAGATGTTGCCACATTTCACTGCTATAAAAAGGAGCATGTTCTGTTTGACCTCTCCCAGAAGGAGAGCCATGGTTTTATCTGCACTTCACCTGATTCTTTCACCCTTACTAATAATAAACTATAGCCATAAAAGCTCTATATAATGTTTGGTGCTATTTATTGTTACTGTTGCTATTATTGCTGTTGTTTATACAATAATATCCCAGCAAAACACTGCTGAATATTTATGTTACAAAAAAACACATAAAGGAATGACAATAACAACTAAGAAATTTGACTAATTACTCTAAATATTTAGGACTTGAATAGATGGTCTCCAAAACTGCTTTAAGATACTTTTATCCAAGAGCATCTATTAAGAAGAAAAATAAATGCCCTTTGTCCTAGTAATAAAAATTCTAAAAATATGCCAGCAGAAATTATTTTTAAAATACTATCAACAATGAAACATAATTTAAAATATATTTTACAATATTCTTCATCTTTTACCAAAGTGAAGGGAAGAATAAGTGATGATTGTCAATGTGATTAAAAATGACACAACCATTTCAAATAATTAAAAAGACAGCTAACACATAAAAATTTATAAAGTTAAAAAATCACATTTCATTAATATAATTTTGAAAAATATATATGCAAATAGAAAAATGAAAACTGAAGTATTAGAGAATGGGCTGTAGGTAAATGTTCTTTAAGTTTTCTTGTTGTTGCTTATGTAATAAATTTTTTAAATGAAGGAAAATAAAACCATTCCTTTAAAGCAAAGAATCTTTCCAGTAAATATCATCCCAAAAGGAATTTTAAACTCCTTATAGTAAATTGTGGAAGAGAATCATGACTTGCTTCTTTTTTCTAACTATCCAGCAGGTGAACATTAAGGCCTTCAGGGCCGAATATTCTTTGCTCATTATGAGAAGCTCCTAGATTTCAGATTTCTTCATTATATGATGATGTTGTAAACTGGAAGTAACCCTGGATATCATAGGCAACTAATTGATCTCTAATCCTGTTACTATAATCCCTTTTCCTGCAAATCTGTTTTGTTTAATTCTGTCTGCATGAAAATAATTTAGTGTAAATATGTGTCAGATCATCTGTTTTGTTTTCTCTCTTAGCTCCTGACAAAACCTGCAGATCACACTTCTGCATTGGTTTATTTTATATAGAACTGACTCGCTTGCCAGACAGGCTTAAATACTGTTGTTTTCTTTATTGGAACATCCTGTCTCATACTTACCTATTCAGAGAAAAAAATGGACAAAATATTAAAATAAGACAAAACAAGAAAAAAATAAGATCTAACCAAAACACAAAGCCTTACCACATAATAACAACAAAATTTTATTTCAGTAATCCAGTCACTGACATTTCAATTACATATATTGAAATATCTAATATTAGTTATCACAAATATTTACAAAATATAACCTATATCTATCAAACTTATACTGACATTTTATTGTACCGACCTTTAACTTCCAGTTGGCTTTAGGTTTTGTTTTTTTTTGTTTTTTTTTTGTTTTTGAGACGTAGTCTCGCTTTGCTGCCCAGGCTGGAGTGCAGTGGTGCGATCTCGGCTCACTGCAAGCTCTGCCTCTCGGGTTCACGCTGTTCTCCTGCCTCAGCCTCCCGAGTAGCTGGGCCTACAGGAGCCCGCCACCACGCCCGGCTAATTTTTTTTTTTTCTATTTTTAGTAGAGACGGGGTTTACTGTGTTAGATCTCCTGACTTCGTGATCTGCCCGCCTCGGCCTCCCAAAGTGCTGGGATTACAGGCGTGAGCCACCGAGCCCGGTCAGTTGGCTTCAGTTTAAAAGTAAATATAGAATGAATTGTTTTTATGTTGTATTTTCTACTAATGTATTATTCCCAGAGTACTTAATATTTTATAATTGAAGTAAATAAGAAAGTAGAATTTAAATGATAAAATCTACCTTACACTTAACTTTATCTAGTATTACTATGTACCCAAAGCAGAAACAGTCTCATAATTGTTGCTTAAAAATAAAATAAAACGCAGAAACATATGATGCCAACTTCTCAAAATCTAAGTTCATCTATTTAAATGAAGATATTTATCAATGAAATGACTGATTTTATTGAATAAAATCTTCATGCAGAAAACATTTACGCTTATTCATAATTTTATGCAAAATAAAATTTTTTTACTTTCTTTTATTATGTTGACAATGTAATTTTGCATGAACACATAACTTGATTATTTTAAAAGCATTGTTAAAAACATTTTAATATGAAGTTAAATATCTTCCAAAAATTCAGAACCCCAAAGTATTATTTTCATCATAATCATATTTATTTCAACATCCAGAAAAGAATATGTGGCTGAGGCAAAAGCGCAGAGGAATATACATTAGCTTTTTGCAATGGGTAATCAACATGTAGTTTTTACAAGTGGCTAAATTTCTACCAATATGCCCTAGGGCCACTTAATTATTCAGCGAGTTATATGATTGGGGCATATTCCCTGATTTAAAAGATAAGAACATCTTTATAATATCACCTATTATTAACAGAATAGATGCACTATTACTCAAATCAGGTTTTCTAAAATGCAGCTATATATGATGAAAACTTCACAACTCTGCTGTTACAAGGTGTTAATTATATTAACCAACACTAGAAAGAATTTTCTCTGTAAGACATAATTTGCTGTAAAGGTAAATAAGTCAACAGTTAGTATTTGGATTCTTCTCCATGTTTTTTATCAATACACATGAGCACGTGACAGATGAACTTTTAAGTTAGCAAGCCAATGCATGTGCAGTTGAGCTAACGATTGAGCGGTAATAAATGAGTTTGCAAATCTTTCTAATTTACTTACTCCCTAGTCTGGTCAAATATACCTGATTACCGCTTCTGGTTTCTAATTCAGTTTGAGCCTAGGTATGTATTTCCAGCTGTTCTAAAAATCATTCTAAATGAGCCAGGTGTGGTGGCACATGCCTGTAATCCCAGCTGCTGAGAAGGCTGAGGCAGGAGAACTGCTTGAACCTGGGAGGCAGAGATTGCAATGAACTGAGATTGCACCATTGCACTCCAGCCTAGGTGACAAAGCAAGACCCTGTCTCAAAAAAAGAAAAAAAAATCGTTCTATTTATTTTGTGTGTAAATATCTGTTATCCACCCTAGTCTCTGATGTTGTTTCTATGAACGCAAAGTCTAAAGCTCAACGAATTCTCCTATTACAAATGCTGCCTACCTCCAGGTAGATTCCATCTCTGCCAAGTCTGTTTATTCTGAAGCAGAGTGTGGGCATGAGCAGTAGAATAAATGCCAAAATAATGTATTTTGTATACTACTTTAAAGAAGATCATAGTAAAAAAAAGGACATTCTTATTTTTAAAAATCCAAATACATACAGTTTAGATGATTTAGTTTCTACATATTGGAGTAGAAAAATATATGCCTGTCAAAGATGCTATAAAAACCTTCATAAAGGAAGGTAGAGGGAAGAAGGCATGACCATATAAAATCTGAAAGTTGTTGTTTTTTTTTTTAAACTTCTAAGGCTATATAATTACTTGATGCACCTAACTCTGGAGTGCTGGTCAACTACATTATTTACTCTTAGATCTACCCATGCCTTTCCCCTGCTCTGCTCTGTATATTGTAGGAAACCACAGTTCCTGGCCTCTTTTGCCCTCTAGATTACAAATAGGTTTAGCCAATGGGAATGGTCAGTAGCTGCAGTGCTCCTCCTCTATTGCCCCAGTTCCTATTGGACAGACGCTTTTTCTTCGGCCCCAGCTCCGGACAGGCAGCCCTGCTTCTAGACTATGATCATACTATCTTTTCCTGATGTTCCTCTAACCTTAACAATGGTAGTGGGTCCCTGCTTATAATCTCTGAGTCGCTGTGGTATACTGTTTGGCTTCTCTACCGTTTCATCACCTGTGTGTCTAATTCTCTGTATAAATTTGCTCTATTTAAAAGATATAAAGGCTTCTGTTTTTCTCATTGGACCTTTCTGATATATTCAAGTCAATCTTGATTAATATGTAAATACAAATATATATATATTTATATACATATATATACACATATATATTTTTTGAGATCGGGTCTCGCTGTGCTGCCAGGCTGGAGTACAGTGGCGTGATCACGGCTCACTGCAGCCTTGACCTCCTAGACTCAAGTGATCCTCCCACCTCAGCTTCCTGAGTAGCTGGGACCACGGGTATGCACCACCACACTTGGCTAATGTTTTCCATTTTTTTGTAGAGATGGGGTTTTGCCCCATGTTGCCCAGGCTTGTCTTGAACTCCTGGCCTCCCAAAGTGCTGAGCTTATAGGCGTAAGCAACAATGAGTGGCCAAAAGTCAACCTTGATTAAAATTCATTGGGAACCATTTCTAAAAATAAATTTTTAAATTTTTATTATTATTATTATTTTTTTTTTTGGAGACGGAGTCTCGCTCTGTTGCCAGGCTGGAATGCAGTGGTGCGATCTCGGCTCATTGCAAGCTCCACCTCCTGAGTTCACACCATTCTCCTGCCTCAGCCTCCCCAAGTAGCTGCGACTACAGGCGCGTGCCACCATGCCCAGCTAATTGTTTGTATTTTTAGTAGAGACGGGGTTTCACCGTGTTAGCCAGGATCGTCTTGATCTCCTGACCTTGTGATCCGCCCACCTCAGCCTCCCAAACTGCTGGGATTACAGGTGTGAGCCACCGCACCTGGCCTCTAAAAATAAATTTTAAGCTTAAAGTACATATATTATAAATTCTAACAAATAAATTCTTCATTACGATTATCCATTTGAGCAACTGTTTAGTGAGTGCCTAACCAAAGTAAAGTGCTACAAATTGAACATACAGAGATGAGTAAGATGTTCAAGAAAAGTTTCCAAGGCTGGGTGTGGTGGCTCATGCCTGTAATCCCAGCACTTTGGGAGGCCGAGGTGGGCGGATTGCCTGAGCTCAGGAGTTCATGACCAGCCTGGGCAACACGGTGAAACCCTATCTCTACAAAAAAGAAAAAAAAAATACAAAAAAATAGCTGGGCATGGCAGCGTGCGCCTATAGTCCCAGCTACTCAGGAGACTGAGCAAGAGAATTGCTTGAACCCAGGAGGCGGAGGTTGCAGTGAGCCGAGCCTGGGTGACAGAGAGAGACTCCATCTCAAAAAAAAAAAAAGGTTTCCAATCCAGTATCTGAGAAACTTATCTCAAAAAAGTTGAAATTCTAAAGTTAATTCTCAGTCCTACAGACAACAAGAACAAAAACAAAATGAAAAATTCTTGAAGAATTTTAAACCTCTAAATCTAAAACAATGTTCAAGGTGTCATGTAATTTTATATTAGAATGACTGTAATATTAATAATTTATTCTTTTGATTCTCTAAAAATAAATAAAAGAATTAGAATTTTAAGGTATATTTTATTTTGCATTGAAATAATGTTTGCTCCTTAAAGAAAATTGGAATTTACATTTTATTGGAAATACTTTTTTATATCAGATACATAAAGATATTCTTTTGGCCAGGCACGGTGGCTTACACCTGTAAACCCAACACTTTGGGAGGCTGAGGTGGGTGGATTACTTGAGGCCAGGAGTTCAAGGCCAGCCTGGCCAACACAGTGAAATTCTGTCTCTACTAAAAATACAAAAATTAGCCAGGCGTGGTAGTGCATACCTGTAATCCTAGCTACACAGGAGGCTAAGGCACAAGAATTGCTTGAACCCAGGAGGCAGAGGTTGAAGTGAGCCAAGATTGTGACACTGTACTCCAGCCTGGACGACACAGGGAGACGCCGTCTCGAAAGAAAGAAAGAAAGAAAGAAAGATATATATATATATATATATATATATATATTTAAAAAATATAGATATATAAATATATACGAATATATATAAATATATATATAAATATATATGAATATATATAAATATATATATGAATATATATAAATATATATGAATATATAAAAAAATATATATAAATATATATAGATATATATAGATATATATAGATTTTTTTGTCCTACATCTCATGCGTCTTAAAAAAAAATCACTTGAAATATACGCTATATATAAAGTAAATGTTAATTTACCTCTTCAGATTTCTTCTTTAACTGTTTTTCAAACTTTTCCTTATTTCCTTCCAATTGATTCAAATGCAAGACAAGTTCTTCCTTACAAATTTCTAATGCTGAATCTAGTTGCCTAACCTAAGCAGGAAAAAAAGAAAAACACTGATATACTCAATATTTTACAGATTTATCTCCTAACGTTACCTCAGTGCTTCAAATAGTGAATATACAGTCCTACTTAGGACATAAAATGCCATTATAGAAGATATTTATTGAGTAAACTAATTCTTCATTGCAAATGAGGAAACCAAATAGAAAACCGAGGGATGGAATCCTGAAGAATAAATAAAGAGTTGGACAAGTTTAGAAGGGCATTCCAGGAAAAGGGAGTATGCTCAGAAGCAAGGCCCTGTGAAAGCGAGTGGTGAGAAGTTGGCAAGAGCCTAGGGTAATAAGAAGATTAATTTGTAGGAAATCGTTATTTGGGAGCCACAATTGACAAGATAAACTGGGGCCAACTGTCAAGAATCTGTAGGCCAAACACCTTAAAACCTTCTCTTTAAAAGGTAAGTGGTATTTAAAACTACTTCTTAAGCCTCCTTGAATAAGAAAAATAGGAAAATGAGTACAAACTAGCGTACTGTTAACAATGTTCAAGTGAGTTTTTTTTTTTTTTTTTTTTTTTTTTGAGACAAAGTCTTGCTCTGTAGCCGAGGCTGGAGTGCAGTGGTGCAATCTTGGCTCAATGCAACCTCCACCTCCCAGGTTCAAGCAATTCTCCTGCCTCAGCCTCCTGAGTAGCTGGGATTACAGGTATGCACCACCACGCCTTGCTGATTTTTGTATTTTTAGTAGAGAGCAGGTTTTGCCATGATGGCCAGACTGGTCTTAAACTCCTGACCTCAGGTGATCCACCCACCTTGGCCTCCCAAAGTGCTGAGATTACAGGTGTGAGCCACCTTGCCTGGCCTTAATGAGAATATTTTGAAATGCTGAAGTTACTAAGAAATTATAATTTGTCAGCTAGGAAAAAAGAAGTGAAACCTTCTTTGCTTCCAAACAGTGAAAATATTTTCAGAAAGGCAGCAATTTAACTTGGTCCAAGTGTTCATATAGTTGCCACTGCTTTACTACCTTAATACCAAAGAGCAACTCAAATTCGGTACTTTTAGTTCAAGGCCCATGTATTGCATACATGCTCCCCATCCCAGCTATTAATAAGATTCTTGCCTTACTCCTTGTTTTCTTTATTGTAAATTTGAGCTTCTCAATGGTATTCTTCCTCTTAATGCTAATAATGTTATAGCAAGCAGTCTTGAAAAAGTGAAAGAAATCTTAGATTTCTTAGCAGATGAAAAAATGAGAAAAAACTATCCCTCTTGCAGATTCTATTCTACATCATGAAATTATCTTTGCCACTCTTATTTCTAAAAAGGGAATCTTATAAGAGTTTTTGAACACCACCCTTATAGTCTGTGTATGAACCATTAACAGCTAAAAAATCTGTAATTCTGAATGACTATCTTTGTTAATAAACTGCTGCCTTAGTAATAATTTTTAACTAATATTTGTTTTATGAAACTTATAAATAAATTTTCTTTTTTATGAAAGAGAATGGGCATTGGGACTTGTATCCTCCTTCACACAGAGAAAAAATAAATAAAATCTATGATTCTGTCAGAATATCACTACCTAATAGTTAACAGTGTAATAACTCATTCGGGCAAGATTCATCATTAGATATGAAAGCCATTGATTGTAAGGTTATTGAGGAACAGGACATTCACACAGTCCCCAAGACCCTCAAAGACTCCAAAGTTTGTTTGCTAATTATCAATGAAATATACACCCTTAAAATAATGAGATCTGACAGTCATCACCTTAGATAAGGTATATAATCCTGAGAGTGTCTCCTTAAATTTTGTGTCATCATACTTGATTCACTTTAGTCCCAGGTCTGGGGCATGGCTAGATACTCTTCAAATGTAACAAGCTTCCAGGTGATGCTGATGCTGCTAGTTCACAGACCATGCTTTGAGTAGCAAGGCTATAAAGGACAATTTTAAGTAATTGGGGAAATCTTAGTATGCACAGTGTTGAATGATATTACTGAATTAATGTTGACTTTCTCTGTAGCATAGTGGTGGTGTGGTCACGCAGGAGAAATTCTCTGTTCACAGGAGATGCATGTTAAATATTAAAGGGGTAAAGTATTATGATATCCGTAACCTTCTCTCAGGCTGTTTGGCAAAAGGGAGGTGGGTTGGTAGGGACACACACAAGCATGCATGCATGTGTATGTGTAGAGAGAGATAAAGTGAGTGTACCTAGAGTTTAACAGAGTTTAACAGAGAGTGAATCTAGGTGAGGAGTACACTATTGTTTCAATTTTTTTGTGGGCCTGAAATTTTAAAAAATAAATTAGGAATCAATTATAGCTAATAAACAATTAATAAAAACCCAAAACATCCACTACTCTATTGAATTTCTTATTTGAACAGAGTTTGAAAGTCTGAATCTCATACAGATAAACATCTTGCATTGTATACAAACCACTTGCAAATGTGTGTGTATGTTCGTATAAATAAATGAAATCAAAACAAAAACAAACACCACTCTGCTGAACCAAAGAAGCTCCTCAGGTGCACAGTCTGGAGACAACCAGATAGGGCTCTAGGCTATGCATTTTCAAAAAAAGAAGGTAAGCTCTTGTAAGACTTTCTTTGTGGGAGTTTTGGGGAATCCAAAGTAGAAAATAAAAGGAAAACAAAACAAAAGAAATAAAATCTGTAAATCTAATAAGCACCTTTTCAATTTTCTATTTAACAGCAGGTAACAACTGGTTTACTTTACTGATTTCTTGTTACTAGTTCAGAATTTTATCATCAACCTGTTAGCTTAAGTGATACAACTTTAAACTGATCCTTATAACTCTCCTATAGATAAAAAAAATTCATGTTTCTTTTGCAGAGAACAAGTTGAAGCATGTTGAGAGACATGAACAAAAGTCATGAAAGGAAGGTAGTAATGATGTAATCAGGAGGACAGAAGTAGACTTCAGGCTTCTATTTTGCTGCTATAGATAACTTATGTGTAGAATCAGTCGATATAGCTTAAATCATAGGAATTTGACTTCTATATTTCTTCCTCATTTTGATTTTTCCCTAAACAGCAAACCTACTAAAGATGTTAAACGAATAAAATCCAACATCATTATTCATTCTTTTGCTGATTTCTTTTTCATCTCATCTGGCTATTAACATATGGAAATACCTTACCAGATGACTGCCTAGTTATATTAGGTAGTTTAATGAAAAGCAGGAGTTAAGTGGCTACATGAGTTTTATCTAATAAAAGTATTTCATGCCTACAATCTCTGTACAGTAATCATTTTTTAATATTAATGAAATTTGGGGCTATTCTAACACAGGGAAATGAACTGACTGCATTAAATGTTAAGAGTTTTGGTGGATACTACAGGAATAGTTATGAATAAACATATGTCTATATGGGCATACACAGTCACAAAATGAATTCAAAACAGAATAGTAGGCAAAATATAACATCGTATCTTTAAAACAAATCTTTTATATTCAAGCTACATATGACAGAATAAAGGTCATAGCATATTCGGACCTATGTTTAACACCAAAAATGCAAAAGAGAAAATATTAAATACATAGCAATTAGTTACAAAACTTTGGGCAACTCAGCATGTGCTAAGCACCTTATATACCCTGTTATATTTAATTCTCACACTAATGCTCTTCTAGGGTATTGTCATTCCTATTTTGCGGATGAAGAAATTAAAATTCAAAGAGTTAAATAACCTGGCTAAGGTTACAGTGAGTCGGTAAGCACTTGAAGCCACACTGAAACCCAATTTAACAGCAAAGCCCATGTTTTTAACCATGAAGATATACTAGCCAGAAAGCCATATTTTAGCTAGAAATTCTGGCTTTATCTCAATTAATCTTACAAGCCAACAGGTAAAATAAAGCAAAATTGAATCACTTTTAGTTTTCTCTTCCTACACTTCCTCTGGTAATTTTTTTTTGGAGGGGGCGTAATGCTAATAAGTAGCAATTATAGCTAAAATTTAAAACAATTTTTAGGGTTATAAAAATTGTTTTAAGATAAAAAGAGGCTAGATAACCTACGAACTAGATGATTAACTATCAAGTAATCAAGATCAGAATTTGCACTAAAGAAAATACATTTAAAGAAACTAAGTTCATTGAGTCAGGTCAAATCTTCAGCTCTGAATTGCCTTTTATATATACAATGTTTACAATCTATAGAGAAACGTAAAAAAGCCACAAGAATGTCTCCAAAAAGAAAAAAATAATCAGCCAGGCACGTTGGAGCACACTCGTCCTAGCTACTCAGGAGGCGAGTGTGGGAGGATGACTTGAGTTCAGGAGTTCAAGGCTGCACTGAGTTATCATCATGCCACTACACTCCGGCCTAGGCAAATGACAGAGATTCTGCTAAAAAAAAGAAAAAAAAGGAAAGAAAGAAAAATAAAGTATTAGCATACTAGCCTTGATTGTTTCTTCAGATACTTGGTTCTGTAATGCTTTTAAAGCTTCATCTTTCTTCATATTTTCCTTTTCCATTTCCTAAAAACAGTAAGAAAAGTATGCAAATAAACATTTTAGCATTAGTAACAGCCTGTTAACTGATTTGATTAGATTTAAAGGCAAGTTATAGACATAAAATATTAGTCAACTTCTAAATAGTACTTTTATAAGGATGATTTTACCCCTTTGCTTTCCGTCAAGAGTCTATCTAGTGATTCAAGATGATGCTGTTTGCATATTATATCTTGTTGCAACATGGACATAGTCTTTTCTTGTTCTTTAAATTGTTGATCCTTTTTCTCTAGTTGAGCTTCAAGCTAAACACGAAAACAGAATTTTCACATTAAATATTGTAAAATTTAGAAACATTTTAAATATTAAATACATGTGAAACTATAATTGAAATTACATAGATTTTTGCATTTTGCCAAATTGTCTTCAGCTTCTCTCTTTTTAAGGAAGAAATGAAATCACTTGCCATGAATAGACACTTCTCAAAAGAAGACATACATGTGGACAACAAACATACGAAAAAAAAAGCTCAACATTGCTGATCGTTCAAGAAATGCAAATTGAAACCACAATGAGACACCATCTCATGCCAGTCAGAATGGCAATGATTCAAAAGTCAAAAAACAAACAGATGCTGGAGAGGTTGCAGAGAAAAGGAACACTTTTACACTGCTGATGGGAGTGTAAATTAGTTCTACCACTGTGGAAGGCGGTGTGGCATTTCCTCAAAGACCTAGAGGCAGAAATACAATTTGACCCAGCAATCCCATTACTGGGTATATACTCACAGGAATGTAAATCATTCTATTACAAAGATACATGCATATGTATGTTCATTGCAGCACTATTCACAATAGAAAAGACATGGAATCAACCTAAATGCCCACCAGTGATAGACTGGATAAAGAAAATGTGGTACATATATACTATGGAATACTATGCAGCCATAAAAACGAATGAGATCATTTCCTTTACAGGGACACGGATGGAGTTGGAAGCCATTATCCTCAGCAAACTAACACAGGAACAGAAAACCAAATACTGCATGTTCTCACTTATAAGTGGGAGCTGAATGATGAGAACACACGAACACATGGGTAGGAACAACACATATTGAGGCCTATAGGGGAGTGGGATGGGAGACAGGGAGCATCAGGAAGAATAGCTAATGGATGCTGGGCTCAATACCTAAGTGACGGGATGATCTGTGCAGCAAACCACTAGGGGACATGTTTACCTGTATAACAAACCTGCACCTCCTATACGTGCACCCCTGAACTTAAAGGCTGAAGAAAAAAAAGCAAAATGTAGAAACTAAGAATATAGGCCCCTTTATATCTCCCCCTTTACACTGTAGTTGTCACATGTATTATATCAACATACCTGATCAGTAAATGTTATAATTTCTTCTTTCAACAGCCATAGATACTATAAAAATCCGATATTTACCAAATATTTACTGTTTTCGTTGTTCTTCCTTTATTCCTGAGGTCCCAAGTTTCTCTCAGGTATTTTTTTTCTGTGAGGAACTTTCTTTAGCATTTATTTTAGAACAAGTCTGCTGGTGACACATTCTCTATGCTGTCCTTATCTAAGAATGTCTTTATTTTACCTTCATTCCCAGAGAATATTTTTGCTGGATATAAAATAAATTGACAGTTTTTTCTCTTTCAGCATTTAAAAAATGTTGTTCTGTCTTCTTACGTCCATAGTTTTTGATGAGAAATCTGCAGTAATTTTAACATTTGTTCCCTTACATGCAGTGTCATTTATCTCTGGGTGCTTTCAAAGTTTTTTGTTTTAGTTTTTGGCAAGGATTTTGATGTGTCTAGAAGTAGTTTTCTTTGACATTATCCTCTTTGATTTTCTTAAATTTGTAAATTTATTTCCTTCATCAAATTTGTGAAGTTTTCAGACACTATTCCTTCAAATATTTTCCTGCACTAATCTCATTCTCTCCTTTGACTCTGAAGACAAGAATATCAGACCTTCTGATAGGTCCTTCCCCATATATCCCTGAGGCTTTGTTCAATTTTTTTTATAAATCTTTCTTTTCTTGGAAAAAAAATTTTTCTCTGATGCTCAGACTGAATAATATCTATTAATCTACATTCAAGTTCACTGTCTTTTTCCTCTTGTCTGCTCCATTCTTCTGTTAAGCTCATCTAAATTACAGCAGCCCTGTGGTATTCGTGGTTTCACTTTCCACAGTTCAGTTACCTGCAGTCAACCCTGATCTGAAAATACTAAATGGAAAATTCCACAAACAAACAATTGATACATTTTGAATTGCAGTTGTGAGTAGTGTGATGAAATCTCATGATGTCCCACTATGTCCAGCTCTGGACAAGAATGATCCATTTTCCATGCTGTATAAGCTACCTGCTCGTTAGTCACTTAGTAGCCATCTTGGTTATCAGATCAACTGCCATGGTATCATAATGCCTGTGTTCAAGGAACTCTTATTTTACTTAATAATGGCCCCAAAGCAAAAGAGTAGTGATGCTATCTGGATGCAGATCCAATTTGGATATGTCAAAGAGAAGACATAGCGTGCTTCCTTTAAGTGAAAAGGTGAAGGTTCTTAACTTAATGAGACCAAAAAAAAATGCATGCTGAGGTTGCTAAGATCTACAATAAAGAACAAATCTATCCATGAAATCGTGAAGAAAGAAAAATAAATTCATGCGAGTAGGGCAGTTGGACCTCAAACTACAAAAGTTACAACCACAATGTGTAAGTGCTTAGTTAAAATAGAAAAGGCATTAAATTTGTAAGTGGAAGGCATTAACAGAAAACATGTTCCAACTGACCGCAATGTGTTGCACCAGAAAGTACTGAGTATATATTAAGACTTCAGCAAGAATCCCCTGAAACAAGTGACACCAAGTCATTTATTGCAAATAAGGAATAATTACACAGATTCAAGAATAGGTTTAGACTGAAAAATGTTAAAATTACTGGAGAAGCTGTGTCTGCTGATGAAGCAGTTGCTGTCACATTTCCAGCAGAGATGAAGAAGCTGATTAAGGAGAAAGGATACCATCCAAAGCAAGTCTTCAATTGCAGCGAAACTAGGCTATTCTCAAAGAAGATGCCTCATAGAACCTACATTCATAAAAGTGCAAAGGAGGCTGAGCACAGTGGCTCACGCCTGTAGTACCAGCACGTTAAGAGGCTGAGCCAGGCAGATCATGAGGTCAGAAGTTTGACATCAGCCTGACCAACATGGTGAAACCCTGTATCTACTAAACATACAAAAATTAGCCAGGATTGGTAGCGTGCACCTGTAATCCCAGCTACTCAGGAGGCTGAGGCAGGAAAATCACTTGAACCCGGGAGGCGGAGGTTGCAGTGAGCCAAGATCACGCCACTGCACTCCACCCTGGCCTACAGAGCAAAACTCTGTCTCAAAAGAAAAAAAAAAAAAAGTGCAAAGAAGGCACTAGGGCATAAGAGAGAGAACACAGTTCTATGAGAACAAGTTTTCATATAACTTTTATGACAGTATTTTGTTATAATAGTTCGATTTTATTAGAATTGTTGCTAATCTCTCACTGTGCCTAATTTATAAATTAAGCTTTATAATAGATATGTATGTATAGGAAAAACTGTAAGGGTTCAGTACTATTTGTGGTTTCAGGCATCCACTGAAGGTCTTGGAATCTCTCTCCCATGGATAAGCAGGGACTACCGTATCTATTTTTTTTTTACTGCGTCTTGCATTTTTGGTCTCACATTTTCTTTTCTACTTTTAACCCAAGGTCAAGAGTGCTTCTATTATTCTGCTTTTTCCTCTCAATCAATCTTTAAGCAACTGATATTTTTAGGGAAATGGAGTCTACAGAATTACTTTAATAATGTCAAAAATAATGATTATAGCTGAAACAGAAGGCATACTATATTCTGTTAAAGTAGTGAAAAATTATTCAGAAAGATTGGTGTTCTAATTACAGCTCTTGCCACTAACTTTTGTGTCTCTTTGTGTCCTCATCTACAAAATAAAAAATGCTGGGGCTAGTAATGTTTCTTTTCAGCACTCATATTCTAAATATGTATTACTTACTCTTTCAATCTGCTTTTCCATTTCTTTATGCTGTTCCAAGTGAATTTTCTTTGCTTTTTCAAAGGCTAAACAAATTTTCTCATGCTCTGTATTAACATTGGTTTCTAGACTCCTTATCTTTTCATTCTTTTCCTAGAAACACAAAACACTTTAAAAGAGTATAATTGATTTGGGAGGCCAAGGCAGGCAGATTGCTTGAGCCCAGGAGTTCAAGACCAGCCGGGGCAACACAGCAAGACCCCATCTCTATGAAAAATACAAAAAATTAGCTAAGTAGGTGTGTGGCATGTGCCTGTGGTTATAGCTTCTGGGGAAGCTCAGGGGGAAGCCTGGGAGGCCAAGGCTATAGTGTGCCATGATTGTGCCACTGCACTGCAGCCTGAACCACAGAGTGAGACTTTGTCTCACAAAAAAAAAAAGTATAATTGAAAAGCAGTTTTACATAAAAGTACATTAGTCAAGCATTAAATATGTCATACTCCATTCTTTAAAGAACCACAGTAGTTTATACTTCAAACTTTAACAAAATGGTTAAAAATACTTTATCAAGATGAGAAGATTTAAACTATTTTAAATATCAAGAAGCATATCAAAGAACTACCATTATCTTCAATACCATTAGGATAAAATGAGAAAACTTGGATAACTTGCCATATAAGCCTATTAACTTAAAAATGCAAACAAGAAATGATCAGAAGAGTTTAGTAGAACTTATACTTTGCTATATATTTTATAATAATGATGTTAAAACAAATGTGCTATCACAAATTAAGTGCCTAAAAATCACAGTAAATCTGAAGCAACAAAGATAAGTTTTACCATAAGCTCCTGTTCTAGTTCTGCATTTTTTGCAGCAATAGAGGAATAAGCAACTATCTTTTCTTCCAGCTGTTTCTCAAGAGTTAAAAGTTGAGAACATTTCTTTGTCATCTGAAAATACATTGAAATAAATGTAAAATTATTTTTTCAAGGTAATGACTTTGTATCCTAAGATCAAACACCTGCTACTCTTTTCAAAGTTCAAATACATTGTGTCTAGATAAATTGGGCAAACTTACAGTTATAAACACTTAGGATGCAAAGTGAATAACTTTTTAACCAACATAATTATAAGTATTTTAAAAAATAAGTGACAATTTAGAAGAAAAACAAATAGTGAAAACAAAGGATCACTTCTATCTATCCATGTAAAACATAAGTCATTTAATTCAGACCCCTATATCCAAAAAGGACAATACCCTAATCTATTTTTAAGTAGCTGTTAAAGACTGAAATAAGTACAATAAAATGGTATCAGCAGTTATTTCTGGTGGTAGAATTATCAATGGTTCACTTTCTTCTTTTTCCTCTTTTACATTAACAAGACTGTGCTATTTTTGTAATTTAAAAAACTTATTAATCCCAGTATTTGGCAATTTCCTAAGTAAACTGGTAGCTATAATTATAAACTGTCTAAATCTCCATCTCCATTATTAACATAAGTTCCTATTTTATAGTTCTTTTCCTCAGCCTTGGCTATAGACTTTAAGCTGAGAAAGCAGGTATTTTAAAAGTGTACCTATAGATGACTGCAGCCTCTGGTTTGAAGGTAGAGTATAAGATACACCCACGTGGTCCTGGTCCACAATTACCTAATGAGGCACCCTTATCCTGTCCTTAGTGAAAATGAAGACAAGATATTCACAAAACACTCATTATCCCCTTTTCAGAATGGAATTCCTTGTGTAGTCGTTTCACGTTTACATGCAATTGTTTAAAAATACAGATTCTTTAAACAGCAGAAATACACAAAAAATACAAATACAGACTCTGGCTAGGTGTGATGGCTCACTCCTGTAATCCCAGCATTTTGGGATACTGAGGTGGGGATCACCTGAGACCAGGAGTTCGAGACCAGCCTGGGCAACACGGCGACTGTCTCCACAAACAAAAAATTTTAAAAATTAGCTGGACATAGTGACACATGTCTGCAGTCTCAACTACTTGGAAGATTGAGGCAGAAGAATGGCTTGAGCCCAGAAGTTCAAAGTTACAGTGAGCTATGATCTCACCACTGTACTCCAGATTGGGCAACAGAGCAAGACCCTGTCTCTAAGAAAAAAAAAAAAAAGAAAAAGAAAAAGAAAAGAAAAAAGCAGACTCTTGTGCCCATATATACTGAATCAGAAATTGCAGGAACAGGACCCAGAAATATGCATATTAAACAGGCTTCCTAGGTGGTTGGGGGTTTGCTAAAATTTAAAATCTTTTATTATCACTCCTTTTCTTCCAACAGCATAATCCAAAGTCTTTACTTATAAATGTATATTAACCACATTAACTTATACTATGGAAGAAATAATAGGCTGCAATGCAATATTATTTCCACCAAATTTGAGACCTTTTACCCACTACAGAGTTTTTCCTACTTTTAATAACATAAGTTAAAATACAAAGGTTTCCAAATGTAATTTTAAAATAATTTGTAACTTATGTGGTACCATTTTAAAAAAACTTTAACTCCGGATATAAACATATAATTTTTATAAAATCCTAAAATAACACCTTTTGTTCTAGTTCAAAAATTAATATATATACACCAAGCTAATTCCAAACTTACTTCACTTTCCAGTTTGCTGGAGTTTGAAGCTTTCTCTAGCAGCTCCTCTTGAATCAGCTGAAACTGACTAGTTCTGTGAGCCATGTTAACCCTCAAATCAGAATTTTCAGCTTCTATTTGTATCAGCTTAGTACGTAGCTCTTCTATTCCAGTAACAAGTCTTTGCCTCTCTTTTTCATATTGCTTGTTCATAGTATGTTGATTTTGATCTTTCACGCTTTCTGCTAATAAACATAAAAGGAAAATTCTTCTGAATAAGACTTCAAGAATAAAAACCTACTTAGTTGAAAGATTTAGTCATAAACTTTAGTTTCTGATCTAAAGAGTACTAAAAGGGACAGAGAATGAGACATTCATTAAGGAAATCAAGGAATAAGTAATGTGCTCTCTAAATTAAATACATAACAAAGATGAAAAAAGTTCTGAATCCCTCATTTTTCTAGGTAGCTAAGACTATTCCTTTGTACCAGAAATGTAAGAATCCTTCTCCACCTTTTAACTTCCATTTTTTAGTAGAAATCATTGTAAAAAAAATTTTTTAAGTTGCTCTCTTTCCTTAAACTGAAGGTAATCATAAAATTTATTTGGACACTTTGAGATCATTAAGAACATTTTTATGTACTGCACATAGATGCAGGTTCAAAAGCTCCAAAGAGTGAATCCTTCCTGACCCTATCGTCTTTCTCTCCAAACTAGCTAATGAGAATTCAGTGATGCTTTTTAAAAAATTACTGAAGGTAACCAGGCACAGTGGCATGCACCTGTTATCTGAGCTATTCAACAGGCTGAGGTGCATGCCACTTGAATTCAAGACCACCCTGGGCCACATGGCAAGATCCTGTCTAAAAAAAAAATTACTGAGCGTTATCAGAGGTAGTTGTTTCAACATGCCCCTTCTCCACTATAAACATACACATATCCCACTCCACAGTAAGCAAGCCTTCAGGAAAGCTTTTAAAAAGCACAATGTAGATGATTACATGAGAACACACACAGATATGAAAACAAGAAAAGATACACTTTGCCTTCAAGGTTTGCATAAGTAGTCATTTCTCTAGGCTATCTACCTTTTATTGGCTTTGTTCTTGATGTAAGAGAATCTATAATATATTATATTTATTACCACCTCTAATTACTAGTATTCCCAACTTGGAACATTCACCAAGATAGATCATATGCTGGCCAATAAACCAAGTCTCAAAACACTCTTATAAATGAAGTCCTATAGGGTATGTTCTCTAGTCATCATGAATGACACAAAAATATCTGGAAAAACCTCCAAATATTTGGAAATAAAACACACACAGCCTGTGAGTCAAAGAGGAAATCACAAGAGATAACTATTTTGAACTGAATGAAAATGAAAATACAACACATTAAAAAAAGTAGTGGAATACAGCCAAAGCACTGCTTAAAGGGAAGTTTCTATCCTTAAATACTTAGATGAGAGAGGAAAAAGAAGTCTAAAATCAATAATCTAAACTTAAAGAAAAGTTTTGTGGGGTTTAAAAAAAAAAAAAAAAAAAAGAGAAAATTAAGCCTAAAAGTTAACTGGCAAAAAGTACAAGGGATCCTGATGGAGATGTCTTATGTCTTGACTGTGGTGATGGTAACAAGAGTTAAACATTAAAACACAAACACCTGACAAAACGTATCAAACTGTATATTAAAATGGGTGCATCTTAATTGCAGGGGTCCCCAACCCCTGGGCCACAGACTGGTACCAGTCCATGGCCTATTAAGAACGGGGTCACATAGTAGGAGGTGAGTGGCAGGTGAATGACACCCACTCCCAATCGCTCGCATTATTGCTTGAGCTCTACCTCCTGTCAGATTAGCTGTGGCATTAGATTCCCATAGGAACACAAACCCTGTTATGAACTGCACATGCGCAGGATCTAGATTGCTCACTCCTTATGAGAATCTAATGCCTGATGATCTGTCACTGTCTCCCATGACCCCCAGATGGAACCTTCTAGTTGCAGGAAAACAAGTCAGGGCTCCCATTGATTCTACATTACAATGAGTTGTATGATTATTTCATCATCAATGTAATAATAATATAAATAAAATGCACAATAAAAGTCATGCATTTGAATCATCCTGAAACCACCCCTGCCCCTGCCCCTGGTCCATGGAAAAAATGTCTTCCACAAAACCAGTCCCTGGTGCCAAAAAGGTTGGGGACCACTGTCTTACTGGATATCAATTTTACTTCACTAAAGAATGATACAAAGTCTAATAATTCTGAAATAACTTCTGCTGTCTTATCAGACCATAACTAGTAATAGATTATCAAGTATGTTTGATAATACAAACCAAACAGTTAATAAATTTGTTCTTTACAAACTATCATCTGAGAACACATGGACACATAGAGGGGAACAACACACACTGGGGTCTATCAGAGGGTGGAGGGTGGAAGGAGGGAGTGGAGCAGGAAAAATAATTAAGGGATACTAGGCTTAATACCTGGGTGATGAAATAATCTGTAAAACAAACCTCCATGACACAAGCTTACCTATGTAACAAATCTGCACATGTATCCCTGAACTTAAGTTAAATTTAAAAAAAATTTTAAAGTTTTTTTAAAAAAAACTATCATCCAAAACTCTAAATATAATTTATTAAAACAACTCAATATACTTACCCACTTGATGACCACCTAGCTTTACAGGTTCTGTTTCTAAACTACTTAATTTGCTACTTTCTTGGCTGTCATTACAAGTAATAAGACTCTGAGATAACTGATTTGCAGTCAGGTTTGCATGAAGCTTTTGAATTTCTGCCTCTTTTATTGCAAGCTTAATTCTGGCACAAAAGAAAAGAAGTGAAAAATTATTAGAAAGATTCTATAAAAATATCTCCTACTGTACTATTTTTCACCTTTCAAGTTGATAAAATTAGAATTCTGATATTAGTCAACTCTTTAGGCAGGATATGAAAACTCGTATAGACCATTGTAGGATTATAAATTGGTTCAGTCACTTTACAAACTTGATGGTATCTAGTAAAATTGAAAACGTACACACTCTATGACCCAGCAATTTCACTTTTAGGAATATATACTACAGAAACTCTCATATATATGTATAAGAAAACATGTATAAGGATGTCCTTTGCAGCACTGTTTGTAACAGAAAATAGAAACAAGATACCTATAAAGGAACAAATAAATTATGAGACTGTTATAGGACAGAATCCTACACAGTGATTCAAAGTAACTAACCACACAAATCCATTTGTTAATCTACTCTATCTCAATATGAATGAATTTTTAAAATACTGCTGAGTGAAAAAGCAAAATTGCACAGTATACAGTATATTTATATTTGTGTATATGTGTGTAAACACACAAAAATGAATAGAGAAATATATATCCAATTCATGATGGTGGATACTTAGGGGAAAAATGGAACTAGTCATAAGGATCAAAAGGCATTATTCATCCTGTAATGCTTTATTTTTTATTTACAGAAACAGATTTAAAACAAATACCACAAATTTTAAGGAGACTCAATCCTGGTTAAGAAGATTCAATTCTGAGTTGTGGAATCACAGATACCTGTTATAATATTCTCTGAGCTTTTCTGTATATTTTTTAAATTCCTCAATTAAAGGTTATTTTATTTTATTTTATTTTATTTTATTTTTGATGGAGTCTCACTCTGTTGCTCAGGCTGGAGTGCAGTGGCACTATCTCAGCTCACTGCAACCTCTGCCTCCTGGGTTCAAGTGAATCTCCTGCCTCAGCCTCCCAAGTAGCGGGGATTACAGGCACGTGCCACCACCACACCTGGCTAATTTTTGTATTTTTAGTAGAGATGAGGTTGCACCATGTTGGTCAGGCTGGTCTCGAACTCCTGACCTTGTGATCCACCCACCTTGGCCTCCCAAAGTATTGGTATTACAGGCATGAGCCACCACGCTCAGCCAATTAAGGGTCTTAATTACCAATAAAAAACATTCTATTTGCTATAACTGAAGATTCTGAAAATTGTACCTCAATTCCGAAATCACCAATTTATTTGCCTCACAGCAGCCAATGCAACGGTCTTCCTTGTTTGAGAAGCTACTCATCTGGTATTTAGAAAGAGACGATTTAAAGCCAAATAATTCTCTCTTTAACTGCAAGTTTAAAAACAAACACGTGTAAACTTATGTACATGGGATGCAGTTGCTTTTTCATTCAGAACTTAAAATTTTAAAAACTGTATGAATTTGATGGTAACAACTTAATGTCCATCAATAGGAAAATATATAAATATATTAAGAAATATTAAGATAATTGGAAAACTACAATAGTTAAAAGAAATAAACTTGAGTCACATAAATCAGTATGGATACATCTCATAACAATATTAGTGAAAAACAAATGATAGTGGCAAACAGTATTTTCATAAAAACACTAAGCAACATATATATATTTCTAGATGCATCTATACGTGACAGTATTTAAAACATGGATGAGAAGGATACACATGAATTTCAGAATAATTGCCATTTCTGAGGAGAGAGGAAGAGAATTGGGATCTGACAAGGTACACAAAGAAGCTTTACCTATAAAATTTTATTCTAAAAAATATAGAGTTGATAAGACAATACATGTACCAAATTTTACAAATATGGTGCTACACTAGCATATGCACCTTTCTGTTGGTTTGGATAATACAGAATTTTAAAAGACAGTTATAAAGGAGCAAGGTAAGCACTTAATGACTTCTACCTTCAAACTATAACCAAATCACACCTCCTAGAAGTGGGGAAAAAAAAAAATCACATTTCCTAATCGTATCATTCTTAGCACTACAAGAAACAAATAATCAAGCATACATTACCACATTCGGAATCATATCTCAAATAATTCTGTTTTTAGAGACAGGATCTCACTCTGTCGCCCCGACTGGAGCTTATGATCATAGAACTCACTGCAGCCTTGAACTCCTGGTCTCAAGCAATCCTCCTACCTCAGCTTCTCGACTAGCTGGGACCACAGGCATGCACCACCATGCCCAGCTAATTTTTGTATTTTTGTAGAGACAGGGTCTTGCTATATTGCCCAGGCTGGTCTTGAACTCTTGCTTCAAGAGTTCCTCTTACCTTGGCCTGCCAAAATGCTGGGATTACAAGCATGAACCACTGTGCCTGACCACATATGAAATAATTCTTGATACACAAATGAGAATGCAATTTAAAATTGTTATCTGTATATGATTACTTTCTAATTTCAAAAGCAAATAGTATATTAAAAATTAAGCAAATAGCATCTGGGGAAAGCAGATACAACAGAGGAGCTAAGATTTTATGTTCTAGTTTAAATTCTACTACTTACCAGTTGAGCAATTTATTTACTTCCTTGGGTCTAGGTTTCTTCACCAATAAAATGATATTGAATCAGACAGTTGCTAAGATTTTTTTGGTTCATAATTCCACAGTTCATAATAGTTTAACATCGGTAAGTCTACCGTCTAGTCTACCATGCATTCATATGTGAAACCAACCATAATATATTTACCTATAGTTTCCCCTGATCTTTCCTTCATTTTACACCTATTGATTACAAATTCCTGAATAGGTTTACTTACCTTCTTCTTAATCTCACTTATATATATGGCCACAAATATAACTCAAAGAGAAAAGGTGGTAGACCATTATTATAAAAACATTTTAGGCCAGGCATGGTGGCTCAAGCCTGTAATCCCAGCACTTTGGGAGGCCGAGGCAGGCAGATCACCTGAGGTCAGGAGTTTAAGACCAGGCTGACCAACGTGCAGAAACCCTGCCTCTACTAAAAATACAAAATTAGCTGGGCGTGGTGGCACATGCCTGTAATTCCAGCTACTAGGGAGGCTGAGGCGGGCGAATAGCTTGAACCCAGGAGGCGGAGGTTGCAGTGAGCCGAGATCTCACCACTGCACTCCAGCCTGGCGACAGAGCGAGACACCATCTCAAAAAAAAAAAAAAAATTAAAGTTCTATGCCATTCTAATAAGTACATGAAAAGTTGCTCATCATGAGCTGTTAAAAAAATGAAAATTAGGGCCAGGCATGGTGGCTCACGCTTGTAATCCCAGCACTTTGGGAGGCCAAGGTGGGCGGATCATGAGGTCAGGCCGAGGTGGGCGCATTCGAGACCAGCTTGACCAATGTGGTGAAACCCCGTCCCATGTGCCTGTAGTCCTGGCTACTCAGGAGGCTGAGGCAGGAGAATTGCTTGAACCTGGGAACCAGAGGTTGCAGTAAGCTGAGATCATGCCACTACACTCCAGCCTGGGCAACAGAGTAAGAGTCTGTCTTAAAAAAAAAAAAAAAGAAATGTAAATTAAAACCACAGTGTAATACCACTTCACATCCACTAAGATGGTAATAATAAAAAAGACAAGAACAAGTGTTGGCAAGGAAGTAGAGAAACAGGAACCCTCATACATTGCTGGTGAGAATGTAAAATAGTGTAGACATTTTGGAAAACAGTTTGGAATAAATTCATCATATGACCCAACAATTCTAGTCCTAGGTATTTACCCAAGATAAATGAAAACATGCCCAAAGACTTGTATGCAAATGTTCATATAAGCATTATTCATAATATCCCAAAGTGGAAACAATCCAAATGTCCATCAACCAGTGAATGGATAAATCAAATGTAACATATCTATATAATGCAATACTATTTGGCAATAAAAAGAAATGAAATACTGATATCACAACATGAATGACTCTCAAAAACATTAAGAATGCAAAAGACCAGATGCAAAAGAGCACATATTATATGAGTTCATTTATGTGAAATGTCCAGAAAAGATATCTATAGATGCAAAAACTATTAGTGTCTTCCTATGGGTAGAAGGGAGTAGAGGGCCTAATTATAAATGGGTCCAAAATACCTTTTGGGGATGATAGACATGTTTCAAAGCTGGATTGTGGTGATTGTTACAAAACTTGCCAATTTACTAAAAATCATAGATTAGTACACTTAAAATAGGCAAATTTTATGGTATGTAAATGATACTTCAATAAATCTGCTTAAAAAAAATTCTGTGCCATTCTAATATATGGCATCTGAGAAACTGGGAAAAAGTGTACAATGGTTAAGTGCAGGAAAAAAAACAGATTAGATGGAAGAGAAATTCAAGACTAAAGAGGAAAGAAAAAAATTAGAAGCTAATAAAGCAACCACAAAATGACAGTCTTTTCTAAAACACTTTAGTAAAATTCTTCTTTTCCATTACGTAATCACACATACTTACTGGCAACTGGGATATAATCTTTTCCATACTTCTTAGTTCTACCCTTGAACTTTCAATTTCTTGTTGACATAAATCTAGTCGCTCATTCTGTGCTGCAACACGGACCTTTAATTCTCGGTTTTCATTCATTAAAGAAAATTTGTCTCTAAGTATTTCGTCTTTGTTCTCTAACTCACTCTCTAGCTTCAAAATACTTTGTCTAGATTCAGTTAGCTGTGCCATGACTTCTGAATTTTTCACTGCCATGATCCTTAGTTTTTCTTTTCCATTGTTATTTTCTTCTTTTAACTGCCTATGAAGAAAAGAGAATAAAAATGAAAATAAAATATATATGCATTCATTTTCAATCACATTTATTTAATCTCACTTTTAAAATTTTTTGAAGCTTAATTCTAAAATAATACCTGCTCACATTTACTAAGTACCTACTTTCTGCATGCCAGGCACTCACAACTTTATGTGGTTAGCACTATTATTACTTCTTATTTACAGATGAGGTAACTGAGGCACAAAAAGGTTAAATAACTTTCCCAGTGTCTCACAGTAAACGGCAGGGAAGGACAGCCCTACTATCTTGAAAGCATTTCTGCTCCCTGTTTAATTATATAAGACAGGAAATCTAACTCCAAAATCGCTGACATAGCATTTCGCATTATCAACAAAGTTTTGGATTCCTAAAACAGGAGAAAAAGTAAACTGGCTCTACATAATTGTACAATCAGCTTAAGAGCCCAGCATCAATGACTTTCTCTTCTTACAAGAATTTTTTTTTTTTTTTTGAGATGGAATCTCACTGTATTGCCCAGGCTGGAGTGTAGTAGCGCAATCTTGGCTCACTGCAAGCTCCGCCTCCTGGGTTCATGCCATTCTCCTGCCTCAGCCTCCCGAGTAGCTGGGACTACAGGCGCCCGCCACCACGCCCAGCTAATTTTTTTTTTTTTTCAGTAGAGATGGGGTTTCACTGTGTTAGCCAGGATGGTCTCGATCTCCTGATCTCGTGATCCGCCCGCCTCAGCCTCCCAAAGTGCTGGGATTACAGGCAAGAGCCACCGCACCCGGCCCTTACAAGGATTCTTTTAAGAAATACTGCATCAGCAACTCTTAATGGCACACTGGGAGATACTGTGTTGAAAAACTTAGACATTTTAGAAGGGTCAGACTCCAAATGTGAAGTTTTAAAAATATCTTAACCAATTTATTTCACTTATATTTGAAATATGAAAATAACATTTTTTTGGAAAATATAAAAATAACATAACTTAAGAAATCATACGTAATTAAATATACAAGAATTCTTTCATGAAGTATAAACATTTTAAGTGATGAAGGATTGCATCATAGTGTAATTGGCAGCATTTTTCTTTCTTAAAAGTAGATCTTGCAATCGATAATCAATTCTAGAAAATACTCTAGTAAAAAGCATCTTTACTCCCTCCTCCTTGGCAAAAATACTAAACAGACTACCTTAAGGAAAGTACGGCAAAATTAGACAAACCAGTTATTCTGATTGCTTCCTGCTCCCCCTTTTTTAAAAAAAAATTAACAGTTTGAAGTGATAAAGACTGATTAATATTAACCTCGGAAAGCTGATGGGTGTTAGTTTTAAGAGGACAACAAGATATACTAAGAGAGAGTATAGGAGTCAGAAGACTTTGATCTTTCAAAGACCTTCAGTAAATTCTGGCTACTCTCGGGGCTTCTGTTTCTTTACTTATAAAATGAGAAGTTTGGACTAGGTAATTTTTTATGATTTGAAAAACACTTTTTATTAGAACATTGGATATTATACACATTTTACTAGCGAGTTAATGTGGTCATACACCAATGACATTATGTCTATTAATTTTCCCTAAATATATGCAAAGCAAATATGTTGATCAGAACTTCTCCATATTTACAAGTATATTCGCATTAACACATTTTACTTCATTTCTAATTCTAACTCGATAGCTAGAAAACAGTTTCAGTCATGAAGCCTATCCTTCTATATATGTAAGCCCATAATTACAACATATAAAATATTGTTTAAAAATGTTTCAGTTTTTTCCATCTCCACACAAAAATCCTTTTTCTACAACAGAATACTGTACCTTAATTTCTCTTTCAGAATTTCAAGTTCACTTTTACATAGACCACACTTTTCTTGTAGCCTTTTATTTTCTTTTTCACAGTTAATTAGATTTCTCTCTAATATTTCTTCTTCAGCTTGAACCTAAAACAATAATTTAAGTGGACATACTAATGTGGTTGTAAGTTTTAGGTGTTTCAAGCTAAAAATGTAAGTAGTGATTTCAGAAATAAGCAGGAATGTAAACTAAGAATTTCATACATTTAAGTCCCCAGCCTCATAGTGAAAAGTAGCAAAGTGAAGTTCCTGGGCAGTAACAAAAGACAGAGAAAAGGATGATACTACATGTCCAGAAAACCTGTAACAGATAGGCAACTGCATCAACTGAAAGCAAAAATTCATCTAGAGCTGCTGTGTACGAGTTACTAAAGGTTAATTTTAGTGCAAATGTTCCAGAGAAGTTGTTTTTGAAATTTTAACCACAAAATTTACCAATGAAACCACAGCCCAAAATGTAGAACAGATAAAAGCACCCAGGATACAGTGTTGAGAGAAGATTGGGTATATCTGCCCCAATTCCTTTGTTACCCTGTTACATCCACTTAACTATAGGGCTTTGCTGAGCATTGTTTGCAACTGATAATCCTAAGTGTAAAAAAAAAAAACCTGTCTCTTACATTCTTCTCTCTTTTCTCCATAAAGTCCTTCTTCTCCCCAAGAATATTCCTCCTACTAGGTCTTCTACCTCCCCTTACTGATCACCTTATTAAAAATCCCTTCTAAGATATTTCTTTCCCACAAGCACCCTCTCCAAGACTCTCAAAACCGCCTTCTTATTAACTAATTCACATTTAAGATTTCAATACCTAGTGAGACCTTAATATTTTACACTGCCAAGTGATATTCACAGTTTTACTGCAAAGGAATGACCACTTTGTAATCAACTGCAGACTTTCTCCTGGATCTCAGTATTTAATATTGTTGGTAACTTCTCCTCTAAAATATTTTACCATGTAGCTGTCATGACAATATTACACTTGACTCTGGCCACTCTTGTTTTCTTTGCTTCCTTTTATTAACTCATAATTCCTGACTGCTCTTTTCTTTCTATTTATTCTCTCAAAAGTTTAGTGAATTTCTTGACTTTCCTTATTGCAACTATATTATGAGAAATACTCACCCCAAGTTTCCAAAATCCCTCCTATCCTCCTTACGCTATGAAAATTTCTTAAGCAACATCTTAACTTATGGGACCAAAGACATTTAATTCAAAATCCTTCAATTTCCTTCCACCTAAAACTTTTTTCTCTTTTTATCCACAAAGAAAAGAAATGTCCTATTTCATTAAAAAAAAGAATCTCACTTCTGCTCTTGGACTATCATCTTGCATATCGTTCAGACTCTTGTGCCATCTTTTATTCCTTATAATTCTAGCATCTTCAATCTCCCCCTACTAATAAGTTCAGGGTACCCTTAGGTGCTTTACCACAGCTTCTTCACCTTAACTTAGCTTCTTTCTTCCCTTCCATTCGCCAACTTTCCCAACCCGCCACACACACTTCCTCTTCACCTATCATATGTAAAGAATTGTCTGTTACCTACCTCTACTCTCTCCCTTTCCATCTCTCCCATTTCAGAGGTTGTGCCTTCTATTTTAATAAGTTGCTCTCTACAAAGTATCCAAAGACTCCCTGATTATAAAAACCAAGAGCCCTGTCTCATTCCTCATCTTTCTAAAATTTTTTTCTGATTTTTTACAGACAGGGTCTTGCTCTTTCACTCAGGCCTGAGTGCAGTGACATTATCAGGGCTTAATGCAGCCTCTAACTCCTGAGTTCAAGCAATCCTTCTACCTCAGCCCCCTGAGTAGCTGCAATTACAGGCGTAAGCCACCACACCTGGTTCAGTCCTCATTCTTCTTGACCAGTTTGCAACATCTGGCACTGAAGATCACCACCTTCTTTTTAAAATGTTCTATCGCCTTGACTTTTCGTATTATACTTTCCTGATTCTCTAATTTTTTAAAATAACTTATCGATATCTTTCAAAAGCTAATCTACCTGTTCTTTATCTCCCAGGGTATCTTCCCTCTTGTTCTCATTCTATATGAACTCTGTCAATGTCCAAGGCTTCTACCACTTTAATTCAGTACTGTCAATTCTCAAAACTACAGCCCTAGTACAGATTTCTATATCGAAATCCAGACCTATAGATACAAAAGCCTATTAGAAACCTGTAACTGGTTATTCTACAGAATAATAATTTCCAAAATAGAACTCATTAACTTTTTTTCCTGAATTGTCTATTTTGATTCATGATGCAATCATCCAGCAGTCACTCAAACCAGCAACCTAAAAATACCCTATATTCTTCTTTCTCATACTGCCGGCTTCTAATGCATTCAAGTGGTCACTAGATCCCACTGATTCCCCAACTTTAACATCCCTCACAGCTATCTACTCAGCTCCTTCATCTTCAATATCTCTTGCCTTGTCTTTTAAAGTCTCTTTGACTTGTTTCTCACCTCTCAAATGCATCTTCACATGACATCAGAGTGAGCTTCCTAGAACATAGATTTTGAATCATTTTCCCTGCTTAACACTATTCAATGATATACCACAATATTTGAGATAGCGTAGCAGCTCAAGCATTGCCTACTCTGTGAAGCCTTCTTTGGGCCCACCAGAGTTTATTAACCACCGCCACCTTCATCCCACCCTACTACACCTACCTCTTATTTCTATATTATACTTCGTATTCCAAAATACTTAAATTATTTGTTTATATACTTGTCAATCTTACTAGACAGTGAGCTCTTTAGGGTAGGTATCATGTGTTATGTATCACCGAATCTCCCAGAGACTAGCACAGTACCTGGCATGTAAAAGGAATTTCATAATTGTTTAATAAATGAATACCCATCTTCTCATTCTACCGTTCTACCTAAACATTCCTTCCTCTGCCTTTCTACCTTTGTTTGAACAGAATCATAAACTTCCTCTGCTTTCACTGTTATCTCAAGATGGAAGCTCCCATATTAGTATCTCTTTACCAGACCTCTCTTTTGAGCTCATTATCTGAATATCCAACTGTGGTGTTCCTCCACACACATTTCATTACCGTGTGATATTACTTAAAGATACTAAATGAATATAATAAATGAATGTAATAAACTCACTATATTTCTACATCAAATCAGTTCAAGGAACCTTCCCTCTGAGAGGCAGAAGCCAGCCCCTCTCAGAGTAGCAGACTCAGAGAGACCAGTTGAAGGCTACATAATCTGTCTTCATTTTCACTGAAGTGATAAAAATGAATTTCTTTCTTCTACTTCTCTAGCTCCAATCTCTGTTCACATATTCCATCCTTCTCTATATTTTGTTCCTTCTCCTCTCTCTACTCTTTTCCTTTTTTGGATAAAAAAGTTTCTGCTGATAATAAAAGGGTTGGTAAACATCATCCTTAACTAACATTTACAAATTGTTTATTTAAATGATTTCATAAGATCATAAAAATTACTCTCTGTCTCAACCATAAACATATTTTAATTATTCCTACCTTTATTGTTGGAATATAGAGAGTAATACAAAACACTGAATTTGCACAACTGCCTCTTACCTTTTCCAGTTTTTCAGCCACTTTCTTTTTATATTGTTGGAAAGCGTTACTCAGCTCTTCAGCATTGTACAGTGCTTCATTCCTTTGTCGTTCAGCTCTAAAATTTAAAAAGAGATAATGAATAAAAGTAAAGAATGCTCTGCATTTGAATAGTTAAGTTCCAAAGTAATCTTTAATTATAAGGAATAATTGGAGAGAAACAAATTTCTCTGTACTAAAAAGAAGTATTAGGCTTAAAGTACAAAACGAAGAATGTAGATCATACTACAAAAACTTTCTCACTCTATCAATATGAAAAATAAAATATAACACAAAACAATTATAAACATATATGTTGAAATATATATAAATTCTTATGTGTTGGCAATTTTTTCCCCCTATCTGAAAAAGACAGATTAGGAAAATAGCCTGAGGCTGGATGATAAATTTTCAAAGGTTAGGAATTACAAAATCAGTCTATTGTCTAGAATATTAAATATACTCAGTAAATTCTGTGACCTTTGCAAAGGTCAAATAAATTTCAAACAAGTATTTAAAAAAATGTTAACTTCTATTGATACCAGATATAAAAATCTAGACAACAAAAAACATAACCACCACCAAGCACTATTTAAGCCTAACCTTGTTGCCTCATCTCTTAGTTCCTTACGCTTCTTGTAATGAAATGAAAATTTGGGGCACAATACATTGAGAATACTTGGTCAATATCACACTGACGCCTAAAAATATTTTAATATTTAAACCTATTCCCATCATATTCTTTCTAATATAAGTGAGGTTAGTGACCCTCCTCTTATCCAGGATGAATTACTCTATTTATAGTCTGGATCTTAACTCTTAACCCTTCAGAAATGCACTCTAGCTTCTGTATTTTCATTCCCTCTGTTGGTTATTTTGCCACAAGTATAAAAAGTTCAAGTAAAAGTATTCCTAACTTCCTGAATCTATGTGGTTAAGTATGTCTATCTGACTCCAAAGTTTCAGATAAAGGAAAGTAAGGACAACCAAGGATTTCTCTGAAAATCTGTAGGAATATAATCAATTCCTGAATGTGCACAGGTACTGTTCAGAGCAAAGGATACCTGTATTTCTCACTTAAACAAACAAAAACCTTCCCACATATTGTGCTTTCCTCTATCATCCTTCTTTTCTTTCTTTTTTTTTTTTTTTTTTGAGACGGAGTCTCGCTCTGTTGCCCAGGCTGGAGTGCAGTGGCACGATCTGGGCTCAGTGCAAGCTCCGCCTCCCAGGTTCATACCATTCTCCTGCCTCAGCCTCCTGAGTAGCTGGGACTACAGGCGCCCGCCACCTCGCCCGGCTAGTTTTTTGTATTTTTTTTAGTAGAGACAGGATTTCACCGTGTTAGCCAGGATGGTCTCGATCTCCTGACCTCGTGATCCACCCATCTCGGCCTCCCAAAGTGCTGGGATTACAGGCTTGAGCCACCGCGCCCGGCCTCATCCTTCTTTTCAAGCCAGACTCATCCACTTTATACTTATCTACTCTTCCTCGCTTCCAATTTGTAAAAAGTAATGACATATTTCCGCCACACACAAAAGTGTGGATAAATATTACCAAGTACTTCCAATCATGTTTTAATGAATCTTCACTCTTTGTCTGAAAAGGCTACAGAAGACAAACAAAACATCACAAATAAAGTTGAGGTCCTTATGCGTCCAGTCCAAATCCCATTCCCCTGACTTCTTCCACAGAGGTAACCCTATCCTGATTTGGGTGTTTTTTATTTTGTACATTCATGTTAACCTACACCCACAAATAGTATATATCACAGTTCATCTATTCTGAGAGGCACCCTATCCTGATTTGGGTGTTTTTTATTTTGTACATTCATGTTAACCTATACCCACAAATAGTATATATCACAGTTCATCTATTCTGAGAGGCACATTGTTTTCACTTTTTGTTGTGTGTGTGGAGATGGGTGTCTTGCTATTTTGCCCGGGCTGGTCTTGAATTCCTGGCCTCAAGTAATACTCCCACTTTGGCCCCCTCGAGTGCTTGCATTACTGGAGTGAGTCACTGTGCCCAGCCTGTTTTCGCTTCTGTTTTGTTTTGTTTTTTTTCTTTAATAACCACCTATAGTCTTACCATGGTTTCACATTTTTAACATCTCTAAAATTTTTATGTGCTGGGTATGGTGGTTCACACCTGTATTCCAAACACTTTAGAAGGCTGAGCCAGGAGGATTGCTTGAAGCCAGAAGTTAGAGACCAGTCTGGTAAACACAGTGAGATCATCTCTACAAAAAGTTAACTGGGAGTGGTGGTGCACACCTGTGGTCCCAGCTACTCTAGAGGCTGAAGCAGGAGGATCCCTTGAGCGCAGGGATTTGAGGCTGCAGTGAGCCATGATCGCAATGCTGCATTCTAGCCTGGGTGACACAGCAAGACCCTATCTCTAAAAAAATAAAATAAAATAAGACAGTTCCAGGTGGGGGTCCATAAAGTGCAGCAGCCACAGCCAGCTACCTCATGCTCAACAACAGCGCCTAGATGCTCATCCTGGGGCTGGCACCTGCAAGTCCCCCTTGGGCCAGGTAACTGAAGCTGTGAAGGTGGCAATCAACATCGGGTACTGCTGCATTTACTATGTCTACATGTACCAGAACGCAAATGAGGTGGGGGTAGCCATTCAGAGGAGCTACCCACTGCGGGTCTCCTCTGAGCTATTCTGTCGCTCAACAAAGCTTCTCTTTGTATTGCTTACCCTCCACTTGTTTGCGTACCTCATTCTTCCCAGACACAGGACAAGAACTCAGGACCCACTGAATGGTGGGGCTAAAAATGCTGTAACACAAATGGCTGAAACACACCCCTTGTTCACCACGTTGCAGGCAACAAGAAGAAAAGGCAAGAGAAGGAGAGAAGAGCTGCAGCCCTTCGGAGAGCCCAGACCTATGAGCTTCCCGAGCCAGGGCTGTGACACCCTCTTTAGGGCTCTGTGGTTCCTGGTGTCTCCAAGCTTCCGGCACCACCACGTTCCCTGGTGTCAGCCATGGAAGCTGCTTATGCTACGCCTGGTCCAGCCACAGCCTCACAGGGAGCTGGCGCCTGGAGCTGCTCACACTACCACAGCCGGCGTGCCTAGCTATGCATAGTGGCCAGTGCCTACAGTTGTTCACACACCCCTTGTCATTCTGCACCTAGCTCACTCTTGACAGGTGTGGGATCCAGGGTGGTAGCTGAGTGGGCAGAATGAGCCCAGTGGGCCAGAGCAAAACTCAGGCAAAGGTGCCACTGGCCACAGAGGTTTCTGGCTGGTGAAGCAACACCCCAAGGATCCCAAAACAGCATAGAGCGCCTCCTGCTTCCAGAAATCTGTAAGTCTTCATGTCAGTCATGTGTCTGTATCTTACCATACCTGATTAAAACAAACCCCGAATACATTCTAAAATATGCATTAAAGCCAGGCACAGTGGCTCATGCCTATAATACTTGCACTTTAGGAGGCCAAGGCAGGAGGACCGCTTGAGTCCAGGAGCTCAAGACCAGCCTGGGCAACACAGTGAGACCCCATGCCTAAAAAAAATTTAAAAATTAGTCAGGTGTGGGCCAGGCACAGTGGCTCACGCCTGTAATCCCAGCACTTTGGGAGGCCGAGACGGGTGGATCACAAGGTCAGGAGATCGAGACCATCCTGACTAACACAGTGAAACCCCGTCTCTACTAAAAATACAAAAAATTATCCGAGTGCGGTGGCGGGCGCCTGTAGTCCCAGCTACACGGGAGGCTGAGGCAAGAGAATGGTGTTAACCCGGGAGGCGGAGCTTGCAGTGAGCCAAGATTGTGCCACTGCACTCCAGCCTGGGCGACAGAGCGAGACTCCGTCTCAAAAAAAAAAAAAAAAAAACAAAATTAGTAAGGTGTGGTGGGGCAAGCCTGTAGTCCTAACTATCTGGGAGGCTGAGGTGGGAGGATCGCTTGAGCCCAGGAGTTGGGAGCTACAGTGAGCCACGATCACAGCATTGCACTCCAGCCTGGGTAACAAAGCAATACTATATCTCTCAAAAAAAAATTAAGACTATACGTATCTTCTGTAGATTTTTTTCTTATAGTTTTTCTTATTTGATTTTAATTTTTTATTGAGTAAAGTACAGAAATCCTAATTGAGTGAATGTTTTAATAATGTATATACTTACTTAACTACTATCCCAATCAAATAGAGAACACTTCCAGCTCCCCTGTGTACCTTCCCAGTGAGTATTCTTTACCCCAAAAAGGTAAGCACCATTTGGACTTTTAACAACATATGTTAATTTTGCCTATCCTTGATTTGCTATGGAATTATACAGTATTCTATTGTGGCTTCTTCTACTGAGCATTGTATGTGTGATATTAACCCATGTTGTTACATAGTTGTAGCTGCTCTTTTTTACATTAATTACGTGTATAATTAATTACGTGAACATACCACAGTTTATTTATCAATTAGACTGTTGATGAACATTTAGCAATTACGAATAAAATTACTTTAACATTCTTGTACATGTCTTTTAACATAGGGACTAAGTTTTGTTGAAATGAATGGTGGATCCTAAGGCAGGCTTATGTTTACCTTTAGCAGCTACTGACAGTTTTCCAAAGTGGTTCTACAAATTTACACTTCCATTAGAAATGCAGAAGAGTTTCAATTCCACATCCTCGCCAAAACTTGTTTTTGAGAGTCTTTTCCATTTTAGCCATCGTGGGCCATAGCGGGCCTGATGTTTCCATTTGTCATCATTGTTTTGACTAGTTTAGTTATTTGTGGGCAGATTTTTAATTGTTGATTTGATATCCCTAATAGCTATATATACAGACACACATATATATATGTATACACATATATAGATGCACACACACACACACACACACATATATATTTTTTTTTCAGGTTTTCAATTTATTTTAAAGTTAGTTTTGTTAAATTATATTTTGCTAAGAAATTTATTTAGTCTAAGTTTTCAAATGTATCATCCTTAAAATGATTCAGTTATTGGTCTTATTTCTTACATATTTCTTATGGCTTACCGATTTATAGCTAAATGTGTAGTTTGGGAGTCCCTTGTCAATCCCAACACTTGTGCCTTTTCTGCTTTATTAATCTTGTCTGATGCCCATTTTCTTGTTCATTGTGAAAATAACCACATTTAGGTTTTGGTAATCCTTTATATTGTTTCATTGTTTTCTATTCATCCACTTCATCCTTATCTTTATTATTTCCTTACTTCTATTTTCTTTGGTGTTCATTCTTTCTTCTGATGTCCTCCTTTTCCTGACCACACAATTGGCTATTTTAGTTCATTAATTTTCAGTCATGATATAATACATGTATATAAGGTTCAATTTTTTCCTCTAAGAGTGTCTTTAGGTACAGCCTACAAGCAGTGATGCACAATTTTTTTTATATCACTCAGTTCTAAAGGTTTTCTAATTTATTCAATAGTCAGTGAACACCAGTAAGCCTGGTTTTACATTTCCAAACATACAGGATTTCAAGGAGTTATATTCTAACTTAACTGAACTGTGGTTGGAGAAAACAATACACACATCATCAATCTTTTGGAATTTTTTCAAATTCATGCTATCTGGCATAGTGAGGTAACAGATTACATCTGCTTGAAAGAACGTCAATTTCAAACTGTTGACTACAGGGTTCCATATGCACATCCATTAGATCAAGAATATTAATTGTCTTACTCAACACTTCAAGTCTTAATTTTTTGTTACTTAACAATTCCTGATAAATGTATAAAGAATTTTCCCCATATGACTACAGATTTGTTCTTTCCTCCCTGAAATTGTGTTATTTTTCTTATGTATTTTGGGACTAAATTATTAGATACATATAAGTTTAGAGTCTTTATAGCTTGCTGGTTTAGAGTCTTTATATCTTCTTGGCTAAGTGTCACTTAAACATTATATGAGTCATTTTAATGTTGGTAATGTTCATTGCATTGAAGTCTATTCTGATCCTAATACAGTAATATCAACTTTGCTTTGGTGGGTATTTGAAACATTCCTTTCCATTCTTTTTTTTTTCTTTTTTGAGACAGAGTCTCACTCTGTCATACAGGCTGGAGTGCAGTGACATAATCTCGGCTCACTGTAATCTCTGCCTCCTAGGCTCAAGCAATCCCTTTTACCTTAACCTCCTGAATAGCTGGGACTCCAGGCCTGTGCCACCACACCTGGCTAATTTTTATATTTTTTGTAGAGATGGGGTTTCACCATGTTGCCCGGGCTGGTCCTGAACTCACAAGCTCAAGTGATCCACCCATCTTGGCCCCACAAAGTGCTAGGATTACATGCTAGGATTACAAAGTGCTAGGTTAGCCACCGCACCCCGTCTGCTTTCAATTTTCCTGTGTCCTTATGTTTTAGGTAATCTCTTACAAACAGCATAAAGCTAAACAATCTCTCCCTTTACACTGGCTTTTTAATCCATTATGATTAATCTTCTCCACCCAAAAAATAGTCCTTGCAAAGGTTTTGATCTTTCAATCTCAGAATGTGCCAGTCTATTTGTGCTGCTGGACAAATATCATAGTCTAGGTCATTTATAAAAAACAGGAATGTATTTCTCACAGTTCTGGAGGCTGGCAAGTCCAAAATCAAGGCACTGGCAGGTTGGTAGGGCCTAATCTCTCTGCTTCCAAGATGGTGCCTTAAATGCTACATCCTCCAAGGAGGAGGAACACTATGTTCTAACATGACAGAAAGGAAAAAAGGGACAAACTCCCTCTGTCAAGCCCTCTTATAATGGCATTAATCCGTTCATGAAAGCAGAGCCCTTGTGACCTAAGTACCTCCTAAACGCTCCACTTCCCAACAGTGTTGTATTGGCATTAAGTTTCCAATACAAAAAATTGGGTGGACATATTCAGACCACAGCAGAAAGTCAATATTCATTTTAGTTCTTCAAAAAGCTCCAAGAGTCTTCGTATCATACCTCTACCTAAAAATCTCAATTGGCTATTTATGCTCCCCAGGTTAAAATACAAATCCTTTGGTATAACACACAAAGTCATTTACAGTCTGGATCCAGTGTGTCTTTCATGTCTCATCTCCCACTACACCTATTTACTTATAAGAACATAAAATTACTTAAGAGTTCTTCAGCAATGATACTCTTTAATATGTCTATACCTTTGCACATGCTGCCCAGAATGTGTCTGTCCCCACTTACTCACTTTGTGAAGCCAAAGTCAATACTTAGCTGGGCGCAGTGGCTCAGGCCTATAATTCCAGCACTTTGGGAGTCCGAGGAGGGTGGATCACTTGAGGTCAGGAGTTTGGGACCAGCCTGACCAACATGGTGAAACCCTGTCTTTACTAAAAATAAAAGAATTAGCTGAGTGTGGTAGTGCATGCCTGTAATCCCAGCTACTCAGGAGGCTGAGAAAGGAGAACTGCTTGAACCCGTGGGGCGGAGGCTGCAGTGAGCCAAGATCACACCACTGCACTCCAGCCTGCAAGACAGAGTAAGACTCCACCTCAAACAACAACAACAACAAAGTCAATACCCTGAAAATCATCTCTTATCTAAGTTCTATAGAGGAAACTAGTAGCTCTTCCTCTTTATTTTTTCTTGGCAGCTATATTGTGAATGTGGTCTTCATGTATTATTATCTCACTATTTTAAATAACCATATGCAAAGCTTATCTGAGTAAGTAAAGTGTGAATTCTAGAATATGTAACCACAAAGTTTATATAATAGTTACGAATTATTAGTATTTATTAAGAGGTACCTTATATTTCTTTTTTTATTTACTCTTCATATCTATCCATATAAAGATAATATCGTTTTTATTTAATGAAATGAATGAAAAAAACCTGAGATTTCAAAAGGTTATATCATTTGGCTAAGGTAACAAAGCCAATGAGAGGTAAAATCTAAAAATTTTCTAACTAACTCCAAAACCTAAGCATTTTCTACTAATATTTGTAATATTGCTTAGTACAGATTATGGCTTTATACTGTATAAAAACTGCTATAATCCTATTTCATTATAAAATCTTATTAGCTTAAACTAAAAAAATTTAAATCTTTATCACTTTAAAAGTGAACTGGCATTCAGAGTTAATGGTTCCTTGGACAGAGACACTTAAAAGACTTTATCTCCAGATATAATTTATACGAAATAGATATTTTTGTACTACTTATATATTTCTAAAGGAAGATCCAACCACACATTCTCATGCATTGAGTTTCTTTCTCTATGAGGCAAAATTTTCTTTTTAAGAGTTCATTCAACATTTTATTTAGTTTTATTAGAGGTAATATTAATTTACAGGCTTTTTCCCTGTTAGTATTTTAAACTCAGTATACTGATTTCAAATAGGCCACAGAACTTAATTTCAGATACAAGTATCATTACACTGATAATCATTATCAGTTTTGTAGAAATTCAGCCCAATCCAGAATGCTAATAACATAAATTCCACACACAAACATTTTAATGGAAAATTTCAAAAAATTAATAGATAAAAAGAACATTAAGTTATTCTATTGCCAAATCTCTGAAATTTTTTCACTTCAAAAATTAACTAGAATTTTAAACAGGTAATATATTCTTTTATTCCCTTTCAAAAAAATGTATTTGCTTTAAAAACACATACCTTTTTCCTTGTTTGGTTTGTTCAAGTAAGTCCACCTTTAATTTTATACATTCCTCTTTGGACTCCTGCAAACTCTGTTCCTTTTCAATTACCATTTTCTGGCTCTGTTCCAGCTTATTTTCTGCCTCTCTATAAAATAAAGGATACTTTGTTTTAAGACTACTAAAGAGATTATCCCAGGTATGCAAGAATAATTTAATATTAGGAATTATATTTGTTTAAATCAATGAGTTAAGCAAAACAATATACAAAAAGAGACAGAGAAAAAGGTATATTCATCCCTTGTTAATTAAGAGTTTTTTTAAAAATAAAAGAATACTTCCACCAGATGATAAATATATCTGAAGTAATAACTCACATCATATTTTATAGTCAGATACCAGAAGCATTCCTGTATAGTTCAGAAACTAAATAAGGATGACTGTTATCATCCCACATCCAACAACTTTACTAACAGTTCTACCCACTGCAAAAAGCAAATATGAAAAGGTATTAAGAAGTATAAATGCTGAAAAGGAAAGACAAAATTTTTTTCTTTTTCCTACTCTTTGAGTCAGAAACAAAATTTTCTTTATTTGCTGATAATACCATTAGCTACCAATTACAAAATAATTATATTACACAAAAGTCAGTAACCTTCCCATACACTAGCAATGAACAAAGTAGGAACAATTCACAATTACTAAAAATATAAAATACCTACAAATAAATTTAAAATAATATATGTATTACAAAGAAAATTACAAAACTCTGATGGACATAAAAGACAACTTTAGCATGCAGCAAATCATTTGCAGAACTTGTGAAACACCTCCCAACTTGGTTCAGTATGCCAGAGATAAGGTCTGAGAATTTGCATTTCTAACAAGTTCCCAGGTGATGCTACTATTGCTGGTCGTTTAACTATATTCTCAGAATCACTCAGAGTAATATGTTATTTAATATGCATATATTTCCCATTTTATTCAAAGCAGAAGAGAATAAATTATAAAGTGCCTGATGGCAAGGCATGACAGCTCATGCCTATAATCCCAACACTTTTGAGAGGCCGAAGCAGGAGGACTGCTTGAGGCCAGGAGTTTGAGACCAGCCTGACCAACATAGTGAGACCCCATCTCTACAAAATAAAAAATAAAAAGCTCAGCTGGGCACAGTGGTGTGTGCCTGTAGTCCCACTACTTGGGAGGCTGAGGCAGAAGGATCATTTGAGCCCAGGAGGCTGAGGCTGCAGTGAGCCATATTGCACCACTGCACTCCAGCCTAGGTGACAGAGTGAGACCCTGTCTGTAAAAATAATAAAAGTGTCTGACTCCTTTACATTTTATTTCTTGAACTCCCTTTGAAATACTGAGTATATACTGCTATGTAGGTGAAGAAATGAACTAATTCATATTTGACAAAAGCATGTAAATAGGCATCTCACCTTAGTCTTTTTTAACCCCTATATACTGCATGCAACCTACAGCCAAGAGGAGTTATGATTGACTAAAAATAGATTCAACGAGTTCTAAGACAACTGAACACCATTAGGGTATGTAAATATATTGGGTGTGGGGAACAAGATTTAACAAGATATAACAAAATGTAAAAGTAGCAAATAAAACTCTGAGAGCTATAAAAAGTATATTTACCTCAAAACTTTATCTTGAGCTGAAACCTCTGCTTCCAAATTTATAATCTGTTCTTCTAAGATTGGGACACTGGCTGCCTGCTGTTGAGCAAATTCAAGCATGGAAACCTAAAATATAAAAACAACTTTTATAGTACTTTCAGAAAATAAATTAACCTACTTGGCCCTTAGTTTTTTTCCTGTCAGATAAGGGGGTTCAACAGGGCTCCCAAATCATTGCTCAGATATAAAGCTTCCCATCTATTCCTTTGATCAACATTTACATGGGCATATCATCACAAGCCAGCCGTGGCATGTAAGCTCCTGGCATTACCTTCAACTTATAACTGAAGAGTTATTTAGGGGAGAAAACAGAATCTCTACTGATAAGCATCTAGCAAGATTAATTTTACATAAATTAGAAAATTAAATATAAAACATCAAACTATAAACAATTATGAAAGAAAATATTTATTGAATTTTTATGATTTAAAGACCTAATTATAGAATACATGCTTACTAGAAAGAATCTAAATACAGAAAAGCATAATGACCCTACAATCTGTATTATAAAGAGAGTACAACTACTATAGCAGGATGGGAACCCACAATCTAAATGGTATGGAAGAAAGTATCAATAAGATAACTATCACTGAAAAAGAAGTTTAGAACATGAAGGCACAAGGTACTATAGAGGACAGAAGTGAGGACCCAATGAAAAAGCAGGGATACAGTTCAAAGTATCTGCAAATAACAGTTATCCTTTTTCCCACTCCCAGAACACCAACAGCAAGGTGTTGGCATACTAGGAAAGAGGCAGAAAGTTTATTATCAGAAGAAACTGAACAGAAGAAGCTTGAGACTGTGGGACACTAAGAATAATGAGCAGGAATGAAGTACAGCTGTAACAAGGGAATTAATATAAAACGGATAACTCCACCTTACTACTCTATTTCGTTTTTGGTTATCCCACAGGTGAGAAACTAAAGGATTCTTTGCTGGAGAAACTCAACAGCTCAAAAAAAAAAAAAAAAAATCTCTTTCCATGCTGATAGCACTCCCACAAACATGGTGAACATTCCTAAAACCTGCAGGACTTTCTGTAAGAAGTGTGGCAAGCACCAACCGCAGAAAGTGACACAGTACAAGAAGGGCAAGGATTCTCTGTATGCCCAGGGAAAGCAGTGATATGACAGGAAGCAGAGTGGTTATGGTGGGCAGACTAAGTAGATTTTCCAGAAAAAGGCTGAAACTACAAAGAAGATTGTGCTAAGGCTTGAGTGCATTGAGCCCAGCTGCAGATCTAAGAGAAAGCTGACTACTAAAAGATGCAAGCATTCTGAACTGGGAGGAGATAAGAGCAGAAAGAGCCAAGTGACCCAGTTTTAAGTGTTATCTTTTGTTTTATTACGAAGACAATAAAATCTTGAGTTTATGTTAAAAAAAAAAAAAAAAAAGGAAAAGAAAAACATCTCATACTGATACTGTTTGGGAGCTGGCAGGTGTTTCCCTACAAAAGAACCACCTCCCTAACCATCACCCAGAAATAAAGTCCACTGGACAACAAACCACCAATCTGCATTTAAATGCCTTTCTCTTAAATATGAATAGCTAAAATACTAACATCTGAAAAAAAGCTTCTGTTTTTTTTTTTTGAGACAGAGTCTCACTCTGTCACAGGCTGGAGCACAGTGGCGCAATATCAGCTCACTGCAACCTCCACCTCTGAGTTCAAGCAATTCTCCTGCCTCAGCCTCCCGAGTAGGTGGGACTATAGGTGCACACCACCATGCCCAGCTAATTTTTGTATTTTTTAGTAGAGACAGGGTTTCACCATGTTGGCCAGGATGGTCTCGATCTCTTAACCTTGTGATCCACCCGCCTCGGCTTCCCAAAGTGCTGAGATTGCAGGCATGAGCCACCACGCCCGGCCCAAAAGCTTCTAACATAAAGTCAGAGGCCTAAACAAAAGAAAAAGGAAAGGAAAGCAAACATGAAAAAAAATCATTAAATCTTCAGAGTGCTAAGAGAGAATACATTAGTATGTTATGAAATACAAAACAATCAGAACAAAAAAAACTTTAGAAACTGAAAAAAGTATGACAGCCAAAATAAAAGATTCAATAGAAGTGCAAAAAATAATGTTGAGAATACCTCCTAAATAAAAATCACATGGCCAGGCACTGTGGCTCAATCCTGTAATTCCAGCATTTTGGGAGATGGATAGATCGCTTGAGTCCAGGAGTTCAAAATCAGCCTGGGCAACATGGCAAAACTCCATCTCTACAAAAAGACAATACAAAAACTAGCCAGGCATGGTGGCATATGCCTGTAGTCCCAGTTACCTGGGAGGTTACGGTGGGAGGATCACTTGAGCCCAGGAGGTCAAGGTGGCACTGAGCTGTGATTGCATCATTGCACTTTAGCCTGGGTGACAGAGCAAGACCTTGTTTCAAAACAAAACAAGGCTTATATTCAAAAGACAGGTAATAACAAATGTTTGCAAGAATGTGGAGAAAAGGGAATCTTCATATGCTGTTGGTGGGAACGGAAATTAGTACAACCATTATGGAGAACCGTTTGGAGGTTCCTCAAAAAACTAAAAATACAGCTACCATATCCAGAAATCCCACTGCTGGGCATATACCCAAAAGAAAGGAAATCAGTATATTGAAAAGGTATCTGCACTTCCATGTTTGTTGCAGCACTGTTCAAGAGCCAAGACTTAGAAGCAACCTAAGTGTTCATCACAAATGAATGGATAAAGAAAATGTAGTACTTACACAATGGAGTACTATTCATCCATAAAGAAGAATGAGAATCAGTCATTTGCAACAACATGGATGGAACTAAAGATCATTATGTTAAGTAAAATAAGTCAGGCACAGAAAGACAAATATCATATGTTCTTACTTATTTGTGGGATCTAAAAATCAAAACAATTGAACTCATGGACATAGAAAGCAGAAGGATGGTTACCAGAGGCCAGGAAGGGCAGTTGTCAGGGTGGGAAGAGGTGGGGATGGTTAATGGTACAAGAAATAGAAAGAATAAACAAGAACTACTATTTTATAGAACAACAGGGTGACTATAGTCAATAATAATAATTTAACTGTACATTTTAAAATAACTAAAAGACTATAACTGGATTGTTTATAACACAAAGGATAAATGTCTGAGGGGATGGATATCCCATTCTCCATGATGTGATTATTATGCTGCATAATTGTATCAAAAAATCTAATGTACTCCAAAAATATATATGCCTACTATGTACCCACAAAAATTAAAAATAAAAATTAAGAAACAGAAAAATTTCCAGAACCAAAGGATACAAGTTTCCAGCCTAAAAGGGTTCTCAAATACCCAGTATGAGTAATAAAGGCCTATTGAAAGATACATTGTTGTACAGTTTTAAAACACCGGAATGGGAAGGTCCTAAAAACTACCATCTGCCATAAAGTAAAAAACAAACAAATGGGAAAAAAAGAGATTACATGCTAAGGGAAGTAATTCACAATGGCAACAGACTTTTCAAAGTGGCACTGGAGGATAGAAGGGAGTAATGTCCTAAAAATTCTAACGTTACATAATTATCAAACTGGAATTTAATCATGAGTGAAGAAGAAATTAAGACATTTTCAGACAGGCAAGGAAGTAACTGGAAGATATGCTCCAAATACAGAAAGAATAAACTAGGAAATAACAAAAAATAGAATTCAGGAAACAGTAGATTCAACCTAGAAGAACACCAAAGAGAAGTCCCAGGATGGCAGTTGGATAGCAGGTGTAGAGGGCAAAAAGCTCAGAAAGAGCAGGCTGCCAGGCTCCAGAAGAGTAAGTACAACCATTGCCAGAGGTAAGTTATGAATATATTGATTGATTTCTGCAAAAGAATCTCAATAGTGGGCATATATGAAGCATCAAAAGCTCATACGTGGCCTGAAATAGGTGACTTCCCTAAAAAATATTTCAACAACTTAGAAAATGCTGAGCTGAGAAGTACAATACTAGTATCTTACTTCCTCGCCTAACCACTGGTGTGTTTATATCCTAAAAATAAAGGTTAAAAATGCTATTAGTTCAGTAATTATTAAATTATCTTTATGTCTCTTTTCTTACTTTAAATCACTAGCAATCATGACTTTAAAAAGAGAGATTATCTATAGTTGAAGAAAAAATTTAAAAATAAGCAGAAAAAACGAACAGACAAATCACAAAGAAATCTGAATGGCAAACAAATATACCGAAAAGATAAATTTTGTACGAAATCAAGAAAAACAGCATTTTTCCCTCAAAGTGAACAAGAAAAGATGAGGAACCAAATGTAAATGCTTGAAAAACATTATTTCCCTAAAATATGGTCATTCTGCCTCTGGAAATCTACCCTAGAAATAATCTCAAACACTAAAGAAGTTTTATGTTCAATAATCTCAAACACTAAAGAAGTATTATGCTCATTGTTGCATTTTGTTTTTCCTGTGCTGAAATAATCCCTAATAGCATTTTGTTTTGTTTGAAAAAACAGAAAAGAAAAATAAAGTCTTCCCATAACTGTTCTATTTAAAACTACATATAATGTATATATACAATGTTTATAAAAGTAAATAGTGAAAGCCTCACTCCAACCTTCCAATCTCTCTCGAAGTTATCAACAGTGTGAAGCATTATATCACATGTATATATATTTACATACAAACACACACACAGACACACATACACTTCTTATAAAGAGGAAAACTAAGATTATTATACGTGTGTACTGCTCTGTAATGTTTTTCTGCCACTAAATATATTAGGTAACAGTTTTTGAGTGCTGACTACACATAGACACTGTTTTAAGTGACTACAAACATTGTATCATTTAAACTTTATCATGATCCCTATAAGTCAAACAACTTTGCATCTTAGTACTAGTATATTTACCTCATTTTTTAAAAACAGGTTTTGTTACAATCTATCTTATGGGTATACCATAATTTACTATGTCTCCATTATTGGACATTTTGGTTTCTTCTAATTTTTTGTGTAATACCAACCATTTAGTAAAAAAATAGGAAACCACTGAAATACAGGAATTAACCAAGTTACGCTATAATCACATGAAATATAATGCTACCATAAAAAATGATCAATGGAAAAGCTATGTAAATGCATCAGAAAATGCATAGACTATATATACAGTAAAAAAACAGAAAACACCAAAACTATTTAAAACAGTCTGGATTCAACTATGTATTAAACTGGTAAAGCGGTTTCTAGGTAGAAACTCTGGGTGATCTTTCTTCCTCTTTTTGCTACTTTTAAATTTTTCAACAATGACAATGTGTTATCTTAAAAGGGAAGATAAGTAAGTTATACTTCCTTTGTATAAAAAATAAGACCACACAAATTGGTAATCTTAACACCTTAAGAAGCTGACTTATCTAAATGCGAAACTGTAAAGTTCCCTTCAATCATTTTCAGATATAATTCATACAATATTGATTTTATAACATGTTGATACTATAGTATTATAATGAAAATTACTTCACATAACACATTAAGGCAATGTGGCAATACAAGGACTCTTTTTCCAATTATAAATCTAAAATAACAACTATTTTCTGCTGGCAAACTCGTCATTTCAAGATACATACTTTTGCTCTTGACTGTGTTAATTCAAAGTGGATAGATTCAAATTTGGTCATTAAGGAATGATTCTGTGTGACCAAACAAGCATTCTGTTGCCTAAGTTTATTTAGTTTCTCTCGAAGGCTTTTAATCTCCTGATCCACAGGGGTAGAAGATGAAAACATCTGAAAGAATGAAAAAGAACAAATATATTTTCAATTATTTCAATTAAGGGTTACATGTAATTAATGGAAAATTATGAGCAATTATTAATAAAATGACTAAGCAGCTCAGAAAATGAGTTAAAATACTTAGTGAGTATTGACAAGGATATGTGGAACAATCAATACTCTCTCCTCCACTGCTGGTGGAAGTATATACAAGTATAACCTGGAAAACAGTGGTACACTTTGGGAAACTGGCTGGTATTATCCAGCAAAGTTGAGTATGCTAAGAACCAACAATATCATCCCTAGATATAAACCTGATAGAAACTTTTGTACTTTTGCATGTGCAGATATAAAACTATTCATAGCTACATTGTCCACAAGAGATAATAAATGGGAAGAACCCAAATGTCCACCAACAATAAAATGGATAATAGGTAAAATATTATTTTATCTGTATACATATTTTTATTATATTCTTTTTATACGTATTTTACAATATTTAATTTTCATGAGGATTGTGATTTTCAAAACATTTCTTTTAATTAACTTTGAGTGATTTATTTATGCAATTCAAAATTCAAAACGATATAAAAGAAAAAGTATACACAGAAGTCTCTTCCCATCTTTAATAGGTGGGTAACCACTTCTATAAGTTTCTTGTTTAGTCTTCTAGTGATTCCATACACATACATAAGCAATACAAATTACCCACTTCCCTCCTCTCCTTATGCAAAAACTAGCACATTAGATATAACATTCTGCACCGTGCATTTTTTTTTTAACTTGGAACAATATACACTGGCAATCTCTCCATAATAAATACATTGACAAACTCCTTTTCTCAACTGCATAGTTTCCATTGCATGAATAAACCATTATTCAACTAACCGCCTATTACTAGATACTTGAACTATTTCTAATCTTTTGATATGATCAACAATGCCTAATTTCATATCCTGCAGGTGTGTCTATAGTATCGTTTTCCAGAAATGGGAGTTCCAAGTCAAGGTAAATGTATTTGTAATTTTGGTAAATATTGCCAAATGCATCTCAGTTGGGGTTATATCACTGTGCCTTCCCACTAGGCAATGTACCCGTACCCAATATCACCTATAAAATAACATCTCAAACATCTGAATGTTTAATAATTCTATAGGTAAGAACTAGGTAAGGTACTTAGGTATAGTTTCATTTTGAATTTATCTTACTATGAGGAAATTGGACACCTTTTCATTAGTTTGGATATCATTTTTATTTCTTTTTCCCTTCATGTCTTTTGCCCATTGGGTTACTGACCTTTTTGTTCTCAGTTTCTAGGAGCTCTTTACACATTAGATTATCCTTTTGTGTTTGATAGTCATTACCATTATTGTTTTCCCAATTAAGGCACATATAAAGTAAGAATGATCAGCAATTTGAATGAGGATAGAGATCAAATTTCTTGGAATTACATACCATGTAAACATGGAATTTGAATTTGTTTCTAAAAAGTAGGTTCAGACAGCTTCATTAAGTAGCTTCCTTATAAAAAAGAAAGCTCTTAATGGTTGGCTTTCCGAAGTGGAAAGAGCAAATATGTATCCAAAAAGATTATGTGCAACCATATCTGTGTATATACATGTAGGGAGTGCAGGGAACAAAGAATAGGAAGAGAGTGTAAAAGGAGATAAAAGGGTTGAGTGAGGAAGAGGGATAAATGCAGGGAGATAAATATATGATAGAATAAGAAAAAGGAAGACAGTTTCAGACCAAGCAAAGATCTCTAACATCATGGAGAAAATAGAAAGATAATGAAAGAATAGTGCCATACTATTCACAGTACTTCATCCAGGCTAAATGGTGGGTATACCTTAACCACTTAATAAATAATTGATTACCTATTATGTATAAGATGTAGTGTTAAAATCAAGGGGATTATAATTTACTTAAGAAGACATTTAACTGCAAAAAGGTAATAAATATATAAGTTTAAAAGTAGAGTAATACACCAAGATAAGTACTTTCTTGTTAGAACATAAAAAGAACAATTATATTTAAATTCTTGAGTACCAGAGTAAAAGATTACAGAAACCATGAATAAGGTATTTAAAGAAAAACTGAAAAAAAAATTTTTTTAAGTAGGCAGGCCTAAAACCAACACTTCTTTTAACTAGATAGGTGTAAAAATAATAACCTTATCTCTTGCCTTTTTTTGAAAATCAGTGCTGCTACCAGATATTTTACAAACGTTTTCATAAGGTGAATAATTCAGAAGTCCAGGGTGGCTAGGCTGAACATCCAAAATTAGCCTTTCAGACCTTGAAGGATTAGGGGCATAATCAGAATTTTCACTTGGACTAACACTAGAGAAAAAAGAAAAAACATATTTCAGTTCTTGGATATTCACTATAAATTGCTATACATTAAATAAGAAAATAGAAAACCTGAAATGCTGCTAAGTAGATTCACAGTTATGAACATAAGGCAATGTTCCACTAAATTTTAAATAAATCATAATTACTTTTAAACTAGCAAACTGTATTTCTAGAGCCTCTATGCTGATTACTTAAGATTCAAAAAAGCATTAAAAAATTAATAAAGCCCAAAAATATATTTTATACTGAGTTCTAATACACTGAAAGTGTTTTTAATATGCAAAGAGGCTTCTCTAATATTCCTATTTTTCCCTAAACTGAAAGTTATATTAAAAAGTATAAGAAAATTATTTCTTATTCCAGAGACACTTTAGAAACAATACATAATAATGAAATTCACACATTTTATATTGATATATTTAAGGCACAGTGAATTCTGTATGTGATTTTACCTACTTACCTGGATAACTCTTCCCCTAAACTCTGCAAACTCCATTCTGTTATCTTCAGTTCATGTCTTAAGGAAGCAACATTTGCAAGCAAACTTTCCTCTTCATTGTCTTTATTACAGTAGTCTGATGAACTAGATTCCATTTCTTAAAAAAAAATGAATTTCTTGTACCTTGCCTGAAAGATTCTGTAGTTTCAGTCAAAATACTCACACGAATAGAATTTAACTCATTAGTTTTCTATTTCAAATGTTGTGAAATCTTTCATGGCAGTTTAAAACAAAACAAAAAATCAATAATAATGAATTTATCTGTAGTGTAAAGCCATAAAGGAGTTCAATACAATTTCAATGAATGAATTTTTCATTTTAGCCAGGGTCTAGTTATATAGTTCCCCTTTTCTAAGCATACCCGATCTTCCTAGCAATTGTTAAGTATTTTCATTCCATGTTAAGGAAACAAAGAATTAGACATTAAATAACTTGCTCAAAGTCCCACAAACTGTAAATGGTGAAATCAAGACTTGAATCCAAGTCACTAGGATGCAAAGACCATTAAATTATGTCTCATTGTAGCTTTATTACTTATTACATATCAATTTCAATATGAAGTGTTTGAACTTTCACAATCACACTACGAGTACTACACATCTGATTAAATGGTATCATTACAGTCATTCATATTTTGTTAGAAGGGAATTTATTACCACATAAAAGTTATCTCGTCCTTCTACGCCCAATAGTTACAAAATTTAAAAAACACACATTTACAAGTCACAACCATAGGGATCAAAATAACATTTGGCAGGTCAACTTAAAGAAATAAACGAAGAAAAGCTTTTGCTTCTTCAGTGGATGAGTATCTCTAGGGTTGTGTAACTACTAAATTTCTTTGCATATAAAAAACCATAATAAAGCATCATATTTTATTATTGTAATTAATACAATAAAAAAACTAAAGCTTTATAATCTCCACTACTTCTGTAGAGCTTTCTGCGCAATCTTAAAATTACATTCCTCTTTCAGATCCCATTTACCTTTTTCATTGTAGCATTTCCTTCAACGCCCTTCTTAGCATTCTGCTCCCATCCCAGGTTCCAAAAGGGTGGGAGTCCTGTCATTACGTTCAGGACTGCAATGTACTTACAGAGGCTCAATATTTTGAATGAATTAACAAATACTAAACTATCCTTCCTTCCCTCAACCAGTCAGAATGGTATGCTACATTTATTCCCCACTCAAAAATTCTCAAATGTAGGGAGGAAGATTAAAAAGAAAACTCCCACCTTAAGGAAAGAAAGTGGCAGGAAATTAAATGAGATACTGTGTAATCTTAATAGACAAACTGGTTCTATCCTCTTTCCCTTTTTTGTTTCCACAAATTTCCTTCTGCTTAAGTGACAAGACTCTCGCAGACAAGTCAATAAATCAGGTCCCCATCTTGCTTTATCTATTCAACATCTCTAGCTCTCTGTAGGATGGTGAAGGAGAAAAGGGTTGAGAAAATTGGGCAAAATCTATAATGCCATTTGGTATTATATATTTCGTCTTAAATCAGGTTTTAGTTCAACATCTGTGTATTTTCATGTAAGAAATAACTGTCAGACCGGGAGCGGTGGCTCACGCCGGTAATCCCAACACTTTGGGAGGTTGAGGCAGGTGGATCACGAGGTCAGGAGTTAAAACCTGGTGAAGATGGTGAAACTCCGTCTCTACTAAAAATACAAAAAAATTAGGCATGGTGGCGGGCGCCTGTAATCTCAGCTCTGGGGAGGCTGAGGCAGAGAATTGCATGAACCCGGGAGGCGGAGGTAGCAGTGAGCCGAGATCACACCACTGCACTCCAGCCTGGGCAACAGAGTGAGACTCCGTCAAGAAAGGGGAGGGGAGGGGAGGGCAGGAGAGGGGAGGGGAGGAGGGGAGGAGGGGAGGAGGGGACGGGAGGAGAGGAAAGGGGAAAGGAAAAAGGAAAGAAAGGCAGACAGAAAGACAGAAAGGGAGGAAGGGAGGGAGGGAGGAAGGAAGGAAAGAAAGAAAAGAAAGAAAAGAGAAGAGGAGGAAAAGAAAAGAAAGAAGAAAGAAAGGAAAGAGAGAGAGAGAGAGAGAGAAAGAAAGAAAGAAAGAAAGAAAGAAAGAAAGAAAGAAAGAAAGAAAGAAAGAAAGAAAGAAAGAAAGAAAGAAAGAAAGAGAGGAAGGAAGGAAGGAAGGAAGGGAGGGAGGGAGGGAGGGAGGGGGAGGGGAGAGGAGGATGAACTCCCTAACTCTTCTGCCGTAGCAATGAATATATTTGATACTAAAATGTTTTCATTTTCCTAGTGGGCCATTTACTGTCAGATGAATGCCCTTAACCTCAATTTACAGTAGTTACCCAAAACAGTATATCTTCACTGACTGAATACCAAGAAAAGCACATCATCCTACTCATGGACCTTAACAACATCATCTTTGGGCCCTAATTAAGAATGTGTTTGTAGGTTTGCACACGCACACCCATCAAACGAAGGACAAGTGTTCTTTTATACCCTATGTATGTGATACAATGGGCTGCAGTTGAAAAAGATTCCTCATTTTGGAAAGAGGTCATAACTTTGTATAGTAGTCTCCTGTCTCAAGATTGCTTGACACAGCTGATCCCGCATCCGTCTGAAAGAAGCAGGGGTCGGGGGCGGACGTGACATCTTCCTTTCAGTTTTTTTTTTTTTTAAGGAAATACTTTTTTTTTTTTTTTAATTTTATGGAGACAGTGTCTCGCCATATTGCCAAAGCTGGCCTCGAACTCCTGGGTTCAAGCAATCCTCCTGCCTTGGCCTCCCAAAATGCTGAGATAACAGGCCTGAGCCACTGCGCCCAGACTCCTATTTTTCATCAAATAAAATACAACCGTTCAGAGGAGCATGCTCAGCAACCGCAAGGACCAGTCCCAGCGCATCCAAGGTGCCGGGAGGGAAAGGAACAAAACTCCCCCAGGTAAGCTGTTTTCCCCACGCCAAGGGGCAGTCGCTCACCACCCAAGTCGCAGCTGGGGAGAGACTCACCCGGCGACTGCGCGCTTCGCACTCGAGTCTACGTTAGGAAGCCTATGACCCTCTCCAGGGCCCCTGCGCTTGGAAGCCTCGGACGCTACTTGGAGAACCAGCGAACCCCGGCAGCACGGAATTCGAACCGCCGCGGGAGCCGTTGGCACACGCCTACCCGGCCGCTGCCCCGCCCCAGCGCAGACTGCGTGAGGCGCCGCCGGAGGCGCGGGGCTTGCCGGGAATCGTGGTCGGCGAGCGCGTCCGAGCCCACTAGCCGAGCCCGCCCGGGACTACATTTCCCACAATCACCGCCAGGATGCCCATTGGTGGGGGAAGCCATGGGAACCAGAGGCCGTCAGTGGGAGAGGCGGGCGGCGCTCACGCCTGGCCTGAGGGGGCCGAGACTGAGGCGGTGGCGGAACGGGGCTGCTGGCCCCGCCCTGAGTCCCTACCCTTTGGAGGACTGCGCTTCTCCTTCGGAGGGAGTGTTCGCCGCCGCCGCCGCGGCCGCCACTTGGAGTTTCTTCAGACTCCAGATTTCCCTGTCAACCACGAGGAGTCCAGAGAGGAAACGCGGAGCGGAGACAGCAGTATCCCACGCCTCTTGCAGCCCGGATCACCCCAGCAGGGATGGGCGACAAGACCTGGCTGCCCTTCCCCGTGCTCCTTCTGGCCGCTCTGCCTCCGGTGCTGCTGCCTGGAGCGGCCGGCTTCACACCTTCCCTCGACAGCGACTTCACCTTTACCCTTCCCGCCGGCCAGAAGGAGTGCTTCTATCAGCCCATGCCCCTGAAGGCCTCGCTGGAGATCGAGTACCAAGTAAGTGCGGAGGATAAACCAGCCTCCTTCCTTTAACCCAGCTACACTGCGTTGTCGCCTCTCACCCGTTTAGAAACTTCTGGTGGACGGCCCGGGTGGTGAAGAGGCGAGGGTCGTCCGGGAAGCCGGCCCGCTCTGCGCAGGCGCGCGAGGCGAGGCAAGGCTAGGCTCACGCTGAGGCCGGGGACCCAGAACTTAGGCTGGACCTGGAATTGACAACTACCCCGCCTAATCCCCTTTCCTTCGGTCGGAAAGAGGCCAGAACTGGTGATGTCGCTGGCTTTTCTGTTTCCTAATTCGCCTATCGCTTTTCTTAGCCACTACACGCTCCGATACTGAGAATTTCACAATGCGGAACTGATACACGTTCTCCTTCATCATTGGACGAGGTGATGACACTTGTTTGAATCACCCCCACCCCTTTCACACAATTCAGATGTTACAGATCTTCACTGTCTTTGCTTCAGTTAAGGGTTTTTGAATTATGATCATGTAATTATCACTAAGCCCAATTTTGAAATTTTTTGGAAGAGGCTGTTGCTATATTTAATCATACATTGCCGTTTAAGTTATATATGCATTATTTTCAAAAGATCAAATCGTATATTAAAACTTTATAACCTTTCCTTTCTTTTCATTGAGCATTGTAAGCATTTCCCTCGTGTCATTTTTTTTTGGGGGGGGGGGTTGTTTTTTTTTTTTTTTTTTTTTTTTGAGACGGAGTCTCGCTCTGTTGCTCAGGCTAGAGTTGGAGTGCAGTGGCGCAATCTCGGCTCACTGCTGCAACCTCTACCTCCCGGGTTCAAGCGATTCCCCTGCCTCAGCCTCCCGAATGGCTGAGATTACTGACGTGCGTCACCACGCCCAGCTAATTTTTGTATTTTTAGTAGAGACAGCGTTTCACCATGTTGGCCAGGCTGGTCTCGAACTCTCGACCTCAGGAGATCCTCCCGCCTCGGCCTTCCAAAGTGCTGGGATTACAGGCGTGAGCCACCATGCCCAGCATGTTTTCTTTTTAGTATCTGCATAATATTCTTGCTGGGAATTACCTTATTTTTATGTAGTCATGCTAGTAGGGGGTAATTTCTTAGAAGAAATCTTGTTCGTTCCACACAGCAAATTTCGATGTTTTCAGGTAGCAGTACAGGAAAAAAAAAAAAAAAAAAAAAAAAAAAAAAAAAAAAAAAAAAAAAAAAAAACCAGCATTGATGTGTTTCATTTTTCAGTGTTTTAGAAGTCAATTATCATCAAATGTTAATTTTTTAACTTGATGTAAAGAATTGTTTTTAAATACCAGGTACTGTCACATACAGAGCAAAATTAAAAGTTGTAGAATTTTTTATACGATGAAACTTAAGGATTAAGTTGTATATAGGTACACAAGATAAGCACAGAGAAGAAAATATCTAAAAATCACATAGTGAGCAAAACTGAGGCTAAAACTCAGTGTTTCTTGATTTCCAGTAAAGTTCAAAAGTTCAGCATTTACTGAACAGTTAATACGTGCCAGGAATTGTGCATGGAGGGGGCGGGAGACTAGGGGAAGCGAGGTTGTGGAGGTTGTAGGTAAAAGAGAAAGAAAGAATCCCTCTTCTCAAAGAGCTTAATAAGGGTTACTGGCTCATAAACAGGTAATTTCAATAAAGGATGGCTAAGTACCAGTAGAGGAGGATCACTTCTAAGGGTTTCAGAAGAGGATTCCTGGAGAAAATAAAATTTAATCCAGAAAGATGCTTAATTGAGATGAAAATGCAAGGAACAAGGGACATTTCAGAAAAAGGAACAAAAAGACCCATAGTTCTTAAAATACATAGTGTAAGTGGGGATGGTTAGTGTGTAGTGGACACTACAAGTACTGCGTTTGTATTAGACTTTAAGACATAAAGTCTAGGGTGGGAGTAGCAGAAAAGGACATCAGAGACGCCAGAAGGCTGCGGTCTTGAAGCCTCAATCATAGCCTTGTTTGTCATGCTGTGTAGGTTTTCCTTAATTTTGTGCAAGTCCATTCAAGATTTAAAGAGATCACTGGATGCAGTGTGGAAAATGGATTTAAGGAGAGCAAAATTGGAGTCAAGGAAACCAACTAGAGGGCTAGTGAAATAGTCTAGATAAGAAAACAATTTGTATTAATTTAAAAACTTCAGTATTTACACACATTAGGGAAGATATCTATTTTAACTCCTGTCCTCTTACAGTTAAGAGCACCAGCTCAACCTTAGCCTGGGTTCAAATCTTGAGTCTGCCTACTTAAAACTTATGTGATCTTCTCACTTGTAAAATAGAGATAATAATTGTAACCACATCATAGAGCTGATTTGAAAAACATGAGTTAATAAATGCTCATATTCAATGTAAAGTGGTCTATTAACATATGCTAATAGATCATCCCTGACACATAGTAAATAGTCAGTGAATGTTAGTTTTACATTTATACCTCTATAGTTACATAGCTGGCTTGGTTTAGCTTTATTCTTTACATCTTTAGTGACTCTTAAAGGTACTGTTCTTTTTTTTTTTTTTTTTTTTTTTGAGACAGAGTCTCCCTCTGCCACCCAGGCTGGAGTGCAGTGGCGCGACCTAAGTCCACTGCAACCTTCATCTCCTGAGTTCAAGTGATTCTGCCGCCTCAGCTTCCTGAGTAGCTGGATTACAGGCATGTGCCACCACACTCAGCTAATTTTTGTATTTTTAGTAGAGGCGGGGTTTCACCATCTTGGCCAGACTGGTCTCAAACTCCTGATCTCAAGTGATCCGCCAGCCTCAGCCTCCAAAGTTCTGGGATTGTAGGTCTGAGCCACCACGTCCAGCTGGGATTATTCCTTTAAAACATTTTCCCTAAACAATTTGTTTTGATTGAGGAAAGAGGTAAAATCACTTAATATATGTAATCCTAGACAGTGTTGGTGAGATGTGTAGGGTAAAGATCATCTTCCACCCTATGTTTGCATTTCCCAACTTGTTTAATTTCCTAGTAACTACATCCTACTAATTTTTGTCTTGAAGTTAGTTTTTAAAATATTATGGAACAGACAATCCAACTTTGTCCTTGGTTACTGTGACATATTGAAAATTTTACTAATTTCTTTTTAGGTTTTAGGAGAATACTTTTTGGATAATTGACTAGCCCCACATTATATTGATAGAGGTTCTTGAAAACTTTAATGCCAATTCATGTATCTTATGAATAAAATAGAGCATCCATTTAGAAATTTAAGTCATTCTTGAGTGCTTGATATGTGTCAACACTATCTGAGGTGCTAGGGATACAACGGTGAGTGAAAATATCGGCTAGGTGCAGTGGCTCACACCTGTAATCCCAACACTTTGGGAGGCCAAGGTGGGAGGATCACTCAAGCACAGGAGTTTCAGACCAGCCTGGACAACATAGCAAGACTCCATCTCTACCAAAAATAAAGTAAGCCAGGCATGGCAGCACACACTTGTGGTTCCAGCTACTTGGGAGGCTGAGGTGGGAGGATCACTTGAGCCCAGGAGGTTGAGGCTATGGTGAGCTGTGATCATGCCACTGCACTCCAGCCTTGGTGACAAGAGCAAGACCCTGCCTCAAAAATATATATATATGATATATGTACGGTATTTTTTATATATATATATATATATTTGTGTGTGTGTGTATAGTCCATGCTGTCATACAATCAAGTATGGGGACAGACATTAATCAAATTATTACACAAATACATGTCAAAGTATTTAATAGGGGGAATGAAGGTAAGTTCATAAGACTGAGTGGGCTCAGTAGGATGACTTCATTTTATCTGGAAATTGAGAGACATCCAGAAGTAGAGTTAATTTCTATAGAATTATCAGGCTTTCACTAGGCATAAGGGAATGAGTGGGACAAGACAATGGGTAAAAAAGAAAAACAACGTGCCAAGATACTAAGGAAAAAGAGAGAAAGATACCTTTGAGGTCCTGAAAGACAGGATACAGAGAGAGAACAGTGGTATAAGTCTACTCTAGAGAAGTCAGTAGCAACAGCAATCAGATCATGCTGGGCTTTTAGGTCCTTGTTAAGGATATGGGTCTTTTTGCAGAGACCAGTAAGAAGCCACTGAAGAGTTATAAGCAGGTTAACTTGATTCGTGTTTTTTAAAAGATCATTTTGGCCGCAAGGTATTGAGCCTCTCTGTACTAGTTTCTATATACTTATAAAATAACAATAGTCACCTGCTCCCCACTACATATTATTATGAATAAATATGCTAATACATGTAAAAGGAATGGTATCGAGCACCTAATAAGCACTCAAAAAATGTTAGCTAGAAAATAAACCCTGAGCCTAGAACAATACCTTTTTAAGGGCATAATAGGCTCTAAAAAGTATCTTTGAGTGAGTGAACCAGACGTTTACCAAATATGTAAAACTATCTGGGTGGGTTTTTGGGAGAATATAGCTGTATCAATTTTTAAAAATTTTTATTAGTCTTTTCATTTTTGTATAGAGCTAAATTTCAATATTTTCTAGTAAACTGGCCATTTCATCTAATTTTTAAAATTTACTTGCATAATATATCTGATGCCATTTGGAATACCTCCTATTTCCATTTTATCTGCAGGTATACATGTCTAATATTATATGTGTATATGTGTATATATAAAGTATATGTAAATATAAATATGTATATAAAAAAACAAAAACTCAAAAGCCATATATATATAGGCACAAGGGAGTAAGTGGAACAAGACAATGGATAAAAAAGAAAAACACATGCCAAGATACTAAGGAAAAAGAGAGAAAGATACCTTTGAGGTTCATTTATATATATATGTGTATATATATAAATGACTTTTAAGTATTATGTATATCAGTATATATATAAATAGGTGGGTTTTGGGGAGAATAATATATTTAATAATTTGATATATATATTTGAGTTATATATATATACACACACACATATTTATTTATTTATATATACACACACACACACACACACACTTTTTTTTTTTTTTAAAGAGATAGGGTCTCCAGCAATCCC